AGCCGCTCAACAGTGGCTAATGGTCATAATTAAACGTCGCTTATTTGCACAACTGAAGTGGGGAATATTGAGCAAAGTTTACCCAAGAGTCGAGCCCAAAGAGGCCGCCGCCAAAAGTACCATTCGACGGACCCTCCAGCCTCTGATTCATGCGAAAGTTGTCGCCATTTTGTAGAAAACTTGATGTGTAAGAGAATATGAGATATTCAGAGACAACTCTTGCCCTTTTCAGCAAAAAAATATTATACACTTTTTGCCAAAAATAAATTATGGGAGCCAATTGAGATGTGCGTTGGTAAGGCCCAGTATTTGGTTCGAAATCTTAGATAGAGATACATTGTATTTTATTGATGATGTAATGAGTAAGATAGATTTTCAAAAAAATTTATTTGAGCAACCTATTCTTTTAAGAATTTGCCAACAAGTTGGCAGAAGAAAGAGCCAAATCTTCTTAAAAAGGGGGGGTGGACTCTTATCGACAAGTATATATCATTATCTGTATGAGGTGTAGTAAAAAAATTAAAAATTCTTCCCTCGATGATTAAGATTTATAAACAAACAAAAAACAAGACTATATGTCTTAAATAAAAGTGTATTGAAAAAATATGCAGTTGATTGCTTGAAAATTAGATGGATTCAAAAGCATTATCTAGCCAATTGTTTTTTACAAAAGAAGAAAGATCAATCAATCGGATTCAATAATTGAAATGGAAAAATTCGGCGAGAAGGTTGTTATTTGGCAGAATACTTTAAGACATTTAAAGAATCATGCGATTCTAACAATAGCTACAAATAAAAGATCAAATAATTCTCATTCTCATACATTTATATTTTAAAGCACTGTAGAAGTTATAGAAATATAATTTCAATAATAGACAAAAATTCTCCATTAGCAGAGATGATGTAGATGTAATAAATCAGTCTATTTGCGGACATTTATATGAAAGACTGACCTAAAGAGACATTTACATAAAAAGCGCAATGTATCAACAATATTTTAGCTTTATTCAGCAACTGCCCTCTATGCCCGAAACCACTCTAGGTTTGTGGAAAACTAACACTGGTAATTCTAATTGTGTTAGTAAAGAGGAACCATATAAGAATACCAAATAATGAAGACACTTAAACCACAAATTCGTTATACCATATGATAATAATGTTTATCGATTTATTTATCAAATAGTTATCAGATAAGATAATCAAGCTAATATAACTTGAGGGTTTCTTTATTCTTTACTATTGTTATTTGTGTTATTTTAATAATGTCATGTCTGATTTATCCATTCTTTTACCATTTCTCAAAACATATTCATAATAAGTTAATAAAGCTTATACATTATGTTAAATTAGAATTGAATATTAATATAACTTGAGGATTTCTGTATTTTTTAAATTTGTTATTTTTGTTTTTTTAATAATTTCAAGTCTGCTTTATCCATTATTTTCACTTTTCGCAAAACATATTCTAGCCTAGATTCCTAGTCTGCGATGTCACGTGGCTCCTCCATAAACCTTTTCACACTCTAAGTAGGTAGATAACATATAATTAACTCATTTCAAGTCCTATTCAAACTGCAATCTAAAATGGCGTTCTAAAAGTTTCTTTTTGTAATACTTATGCACAATCTATTGATTTATATACATCCCCAGTAAATAAATGATTCAAATAAGCTGTGTAATGAAAATTGTAAAGCCTTTGCATGTGCCAAATGATTTGTGGTTGCATAAGGAGGCGGAACTATCGGTTCGGCTTAATTTACAACTAATTGTCATATGACAACGACTAGCCATTTAGAATCAGTTAGTTGTTGCTGTTATCGATGGCTGTCATTTATATAAAATCAGTGGGATTTATTGCACAGGTATACTCTATGACCATGACGAGCCGTTGCATGGAGTCCCCGCACAACTAATTGCATGCTAACTGTACTTAAATATCTATATAATTGACGCCAGTGGGTGTCATAAAACGCTCCCGAGCGTAATACTAGTAGTGACCATCCGTGTCTGTTAGTCGCCCACTGCTTCTATTTGTTTGGGCAGAGCTTAGAAGGTAACTGTAATGGTGGCCCATCGAGCCACCCGCTATAAAAAGTATTTATGTTATTTGTCAAGTTTATCGACGACGCGCCACACTGCGTGGGTAGTGGGTAGTGGGAATCAGCACCACCACCACCACCTCCACGCCTAATTAAAGCCACAATCGCCACCCGCCGCACCCAAACTCTTTCATTCACTCGCCATACTGCCCCCCTCCCCAGGTCCCAGCAATAGGTGCGTCTTTATCAGCATGTCACCATCGTAAGTAGTAAGTGTGTTGCGTTTATGATTTCTCATAAGGCGCATTTCTCAAATACAGTAGCCAGTGGAACCCACTCCAGCTCCAACTGATAGAATACAACTCGCTATTTGTATACACTGCCAAAAAATAATATAATAATATAACAAATAATAATAAATATAAAAATATAATAAATAAATCATCGGATCTGCGAAGCTATGGACAAACAAGCGAATAATTTGCACACAGATTTGTCCAATCTACAAGTCTTGAAAGTAAATCTAATAAAGAATCCTTGTTGTTCTTGCTTGGCATAAAATAATGCTTATGAAGTTCAAAGACTTCCTGTCTAGCCATAGCAGGGGTTTTTTATAGCTTTATAGTTTGCTGTAAAATAAATTTCCGTTTCACAAGTTTCTGCTGCTAATACAAAAAAAAAAAAAAAAAATAAATAAAAAAAAATGGGAATTGCTTTTGACTAGAATAACCTAATATTTATCTCATCCTTATGGAGTTTGATAAACTGTTGTGTAAATTATTTGCCTGTCTGACCATGCTCATATCTGTTTACAGTCAAACACTGTGTTATACAAGTATAGCTAATAAATATTCAAATAGAAAAAAACCCTATTTTAGATGTACACCTAATTCTGCTTTTAAACGGTTTTTATTTAACACGGTTTGAAAATTAAAAATTGTATATATGGTTGCACGACTTTATTCCATTTAGCACGATTCAAAATAACGTTAACGTTAAAAACTGAAAAGAAACTCTTATTTATTTATTTAATTACAGTTAACAAGAACTGCTAACTTTGCAAGAAAAAGAACAATGTAAATATAAAAATAAAAATAATAATAAGAAGAAGAAACTAAATTAAACTTATAAATATACAAAAGAATTCATATTATTAAATACTAGAACTTAAAAATAAAATTCAAATAAGTGGAATTAATTGCTTCCTAGGTTACTTACCCAGCCACCTAGGCCTTAGAGGCCCATTGTAATACCGTGTAATCCCCTTGGTCATACAGATCTGCTTTCAACCATCAGGCATTTCTAAATAGCTCTTCAATTTTCACGCACTCAATTTTCGGAAATCTGCCTTAATTAGCCCGTAATTAACCGTAAGTTAAGTGTATCATCACCATAGAAACGTAAATGCTTGTGCTCCCTATTTATTTTATTTATTAAATCAATTTAGCTCCAATATCGTTAAAAAGATCGTTCCTATTACATTATCAGCTTAAAGAAATATGAAATTGCAGAGCAGTAGAAACAGACAGATAATCGTGGCTACTTAGACTCGTTTCCTTCTGCCGCTCTGTCTGTCTTTATAACATCCATCTCCCTTTTCTACGATTTAATATCTTAAAAAACTATTTAGATGTCTAAAATAGGTTATATATATTCACAACATTGATAAAATATTAAAAACTCGGCTAGGAATTAAATACTGTACAAATATTATTAGAAAAAGAAAATTTACTTAAGAAAACCATCTTCAAGATAAAATATTAAAACCTGTATACATACATATATGTATTTTATTTAGAAAATAATTGACTTAATAACGAAGTTTGTCATCTTTTTGCACAGTGTAATCTATCTTGAATTTTCAGATTGCTTGTTTATTTAAAAGTCTGTTGTCTTTTGATTTCTATATTTTGATAGCTGGGCAATTGTGCTCTAAAATTTATGATTGGCCACACGGCGAGTGTTATATGGCGGGGTCAACTGACCAGTGGTGGGGAGGAGGGGTGGTCACCAAGCTCGAGGAAAACACATTAGAGTTGGGTGCGCGCCCGCCTGAATGCACGGTAAACAACATATTCAAAAGCACAAAACGGTAAACATAAACATCCGATAAGCCCACCAAGTGGCCAGCACAGCAAACAGAAGCCAAATGAGCTTGTCAAAGTGTCTGCCGGAAACTGCAAGCGATTTGGCTCGGAGAGACGTCACCGGCGGTCCGCTTCAAACAATGAGCGGAATGGAGCGGCATTCAAAAGCTGGAGGAGAAGTGCCGCTGCTTGAGCTGCAACTGTAGGGCCCAATGGTGGTGATCAAAAGCAGCGGCCAGCGTTTGTGCTCTTTGGGTCAAACAAACGTTTTAGGCCTAATCCAAAGTGGCTACTGAGTTGCCTAGTTGCAACCAATGGTTGGTAACTACGATGCGTAAGCAAACACTTCTTCTGGCATTTGGTCAATAACACTTTAGGCGGACAATACCAGCCGAGCTACTGATCTCTCTTCATCATCATCATCACCATCATGCTGCTGTCAATCTCCTGCGGCAAATGAACTCGAGTGGCTTATATGCAAATAATCAATATTTGCTATTGGATTATTAAGTGAGTAACTGCGGGACTCTCTGACTCAGTCTGTTGTGGCAGCATCCCAACAACACACACACTCTCACACACCTGTGCATTGTAAATTGTTTACCTGGGCTGTTTAATCGCTTTAATGGCTAAGCAATTAACATTACTGAGGCAAAGTGCTGGTAAAACAAAATTACAAAAATGTCAAAGTTACAAAAGATTTAATTGAAATGCGCAAAACCACCGAAAAAATCAGATTTACTTCACCATTAGAATATACTTTTTGGTTTCCCCTTTTAAATTCAACCGCGCTCAGCGAATACACACACCATCGCTTACTATCAGCCCTGGACCCAACGATAACTATCGACAGCTATCGAATAACAAACGTCTGTTTACATTCCATGCCAATTTATTTCCCTTACAACTGGCACACATATAACAAATACCAAAATAAATGCACTGACGCCGCCGGCTGTTGTGTACGGAGCTGACATTTATAAAATGTCATTTAAACATGTAACTACTCTGTTACCACAATTACAGCCACAGCTGGCCAATGCGCTTACAAACTAATTACAAGTGCAGGTGAAAATGACCACAGCGGCTACAGACAACAACAACAACAACGCATGGATGTGCTTATTGTTGTTGTAGTGGTTGCCCTAGCAATTGCTGCCGTGGCCAATTTTTGTTGTTCATCTACTCCTTGGAAGCCATGTGTCCAACCAGATTACTTGTGATTTTCTCAATCTTCTTCAGGTCGGGCATATTCTCGGCCTTATACTGTACGCACTGCAAGAGAGGATCTTTTAATAAATGTGCTTTTTGCAAGTCAAACAATTGGCAAACCTTCACATTGTCTGTCATTTTCAGCAGTATGTGGCCCTTTGAATGCACGTATTTCATTGTGTAACGGCAATTCTGTGGATTCGCCATATACATGTTTTCGGCTGCTATCTCAAAATCTTCCCAATTCTTAACGAAAACCATTTTGTCTTTTTTTTTCAGGCACAATTAATTAAAAAGAAAACACGACCCAACAGCTGGAAAAGTGAAACGTCAAAAGACAGTGTGCGCTAGTGGCGGTAGAAACATTGCACTACGTGACCGTGCCATCGAGATGCGATATCGATGTTTTATCGTCAGGCAGTCATCGCATGTAGCGGCCATCACTATAACGATGTCATTACATTCACAAAAAATTCGTCGTTCGTTGCAATTCGCTGCAATATTTATCGCGAAAATGCTCAAATAATATGGAATTTTGTTAAATATAGTGCATGAGAGAGAACTACGCACGTCTGGGCGTGTGTGTGCTAAAGAAATAGAGTGCAACACGCCGCGAAAATGTGCAAAAAGAGTGTGCGAAAAAAGTTAAATCTAGTCAGAAGAAAAACGTCGTTAATGTTCATGGGAGCAGCAGGCAACAGCAACAACATCAGGGGCAAAGGGAGAAGTAGCAGCAGCAGCTAAACACAGCGAAAAACGCAAATAAAGTGACACGCAGAAAGATGAAATTGTTTTAAAAATAATTAAATATTATATATAACAAAAACATACAAATCTCTACAAAGTTAACTGCGTGCTGTGTGTGTGTGTGTGTCTGTAACTGTGTGTGTGAATGGGTGTTGTGGGTGCACCTCTTAGACCCCACAAACAGTACTATACTGTTGTTGTTATTTTTGTTGGGGTTGAAAAGCTGGCTGCATAACGCATGACGTGACGTTGTCTAACAAGGCAAGTCAATACAACCCCACACGTCAGCCACCCACTCAAATGCGCATCATATGTGTGTGTGTGTGTGTGTGATTAAAAATAAATTTTGGATACCCATACCCCTTCAACAACACAACTAGCCCCCCAAGAGACAAAGGTGCAACAGGAATAATAATGATGGACAACGATGACACCATACTCAACAACTGTGGACCACAGCCTGGCGCTGAGACGGTCTATGGCACTGAGGACAACAATATGGTCATGTCCGAGAAGGTAAGTGCCATCTAGCAGTGTAATTCAATTTAGTTTTATATATATATTTATGATTCATGCGGGTTGTATCACACTGATAAGTATGTAATCTGCTGGTAGTTTTTTGCTCAAGATAATGAGCCAGAAAAGAAAGAGCACAGCGGAAGTTCAAGTCGCTACAAGCGCAGTTATGTCTGGTTGTTATCTCTTTATGTTTTAATCATGTATGTATGTACTATGTACGAGTATGTTAAGTATGTGTAAAGAAAAGGCAGTAAAGAGCACTTGTTTATTATGCATCAGCTGATACGCACAACAACCACAATATAGTCGGGCGGTCGGTCGGTCATTGGTCATTGACATTCAGATTCAGATTCTCGCAAGTGCCCGAAAAATAATGCAAATAAAGTCAAATGGGCAGTCAGGCAATGGTGGGGAACAAGAAATCAATAATGGCACTCAAACTTTATGTGGCTGGCAGCTCGTTCGTTTTTGGCTGCCTCACGCAATGCCCCTCCTACCCCACGCTTCTAGAAGAGCGGCTGCTGTTCCTGCTGCGGCTATTTGCCTGCATTCTAGTTTATTTTTATGGCCCACCACATTCCACCCCAGACGCAGCCAGCCCAGTCAATGGCAAATGCTTGCTTTTATAGAACACATACACACACTCAAATATATACACATATACAAGTATGTATGTGTATAATCAAAGCAATTCCATTGATTTTGCATTTTATCAGCTTCACAGCTTAATGAGGTAACGTGTAAATGTGTTGTCTATGATTTTAAAGCAGCAAAACCCTTCACTCACGCCTATAATGAGCTCATGCCAGGCAGGCTGACGGTTATCTGTTCCAAGCACATGTTCCAGTTGCTTGATAAGCTACTGACTTACTTACTATTTATACATACGTATGTACTTGTATGTATGTATATACGATACTACCTTCAGGAAAGACTTCGACGACGCCTACAAATATTCATTCAACCGCCAACTTTTGTGATTGTCACAGCTGGACGACTTGACTTACTCACTGACAGGCCAAGTCAGACCAAGCCGAGGGCTGTTGTTGTTGTTGCTACTTTGAAAACTTGTTTTGTATCTCAACGTTTACTTTGCAAGTCGACTTTGTATGTGTCTAGCCAAAAATATATGCATGACTACATGGCCTTATATGTGCCTAACCTTGTTTGTTTTAACGGACAGGTCTTAAATTTGCTATGCCGAGTGGGAAACTGCGATAAGTAAATAGACTCCAAAAGACTGAAACTTCCGTTAAGTAGTATTACAATAAGTACAATCAATCAAACATACAAACTTCCACACCTACTTGTATATGAGAAGCCATAATTTCGCATTTCAAATATTTTGTTTTTCAACTGGTCGATAAGATTGCAATTTGGGTTGACAAACAGTAATACAAACATAAAGAAAAGGTCGTTTCCAATAACAAAACACGTTCCGCATTTCATTTCATTTTCTTTCTAAAGTTTCGACACGATTCGTAATGCAAAAATTTCAACTAATACAATCGTAATAAAGATGGTTCGAAAGGGGCAGTATAAAACAAATAACATCCTTTACATTTTGAAGCAGAGAGCGTACAATGGTCTTACAGGAGCCCCAAGCAATTCAGAACAATTTGTATCCTCTATACCTATAAGAAATGAACGAGTTACTTGAAATAATCTCAAGCTTGACTTCCATCTTCTGCCATATTGCAGAATTTGTATGAAACTTTTTCTCAATATGAAAAATTTTGTTTTTAAGAATTGATAAAAGCCGATATAATTACTAAATTTTTAAATGCTCGCTGTAAAATATGTTTACATGATTTGGTACAGTGGTTTTAAAGTTGTTCAATTGCTATTCTACTTGTGAAATTGAATGGTTGTTATAGAATCCCAGAACATTTTACAATATACAAGAACAAATGTTACTTAAGGTTTTTCAAGAAATATTTTTAAAGAATAATATTAAAATTACATCGAAGACCTAAGAATGAAAATAAAAAAGTAACACAAATTTTAAAGTTCTATAAAGTTATCCAAAAAACAATTTCCAATTCGCAAGCGCAAAAGTATTATATACGAATATACTCCATATTCTTATATTCGCCTTAGTTATAGTGTCTTTTTGGATCTATTAATTCCAATTCCCATAAACAAAAGCATTCCGAATTGTGATTTCACTTTGGATTTAACGAGACCATACATATGTATTTTTAATTATTATTAAATCTACGGATCACAAATAATATTTTGTTCCTTTTATACTATAAATAAAAAGCTCTCGTAAAAAGACTTTTAAATGATCAATTTTTAGGTGCCTGTATATTAAGGTATTTTCTTGAATTCTTCACTAGTGGTATTTTATATAGCTCTAAATATCATATTTAAAAAAAAAAATCGTTTCACCTATAATTCAATATTTCAACGGAAATGTGGAACGTGACAAAATAATTTAGTCTGTTGTGCTACGGTCATGTATGGAACTAATTTAGAATTCGTTCAGATATGTCATTATTATTAGTGGCTTCTGGGAGGAATCTATTTGTGTGTACTTCATATTTCCCCCCCATAAAATATGAATAAGATGCGCTTTTACCAAGACCACGTTGGTTACTTCACTAAAAATTAAAGCAATCCTTAGATCAGGGATTAACTTATAAAATAGGAACTAAAATGTTACAGGTTTGTCTAAAAAGTAACTTTAAAAGAATCAGACAGCAAAATGTGGTTAATTTGAAATTAAAATCTGATAGGTTTGTTTGTTAGAAAATATAGTTTTTAAGTGATAGAATTTAAAGTTTTTCATTTTAAATCATTAGTATAGTTTAATTCACATTTTAATTGGAACTACCCATTTTTTTTTCATACAATACGTTTTTGGTGGTGGTTTGAATATTCATTTCATTCTTTTATGTTGTTTGCTAATTTGATGACTTTTTTGGTTTTTATTTGCCCATTTATTTTTGTTTTCTTTCTTTTTTTCCAGAATGAACAGGTTGTCAGCATCGTGAGTTAAAATTGCTTTGGTGTTTTTGTAAAATCTACGCACGGGAATACTTTATGTGTTTAACTTTTATTACTCTATTGCCCCTCTAACTAACTAACTGCCTGAACTTTAGCATTTTCACTAATTTTATTGTTGCTACGCACAAAACTTGAATGGCAAAAAGGGCGCAGCTAACAAATCTATCACATCTGGCTAACAAAGTTTATGTGTCTGTGTATTTGGTGTGTGTTTCCATTCGCCCCTTCGGGTCATACTCATATACCATATTCCATGGCGCTTTCATTCATAAAAGGCAGTTAGCCGCAAACCGCAATTAAAGAGCAGGTCCGTTGAACAATTAAAAAAGCCGCACAAACCTCTTTCTATACTTACTTATAACTGTCTATCTATATGTTTGTTTATTGTTGAATGATTGTGCATGTTTTCACTTTCAATGGCCGCTGCTCATGCTCCGAATTGTTCGCTTACAGGTGCAGCAGCTGGCGGGCAGCATTTATCAGGAGTTCGAACGGATGATCAATCGGTATGATGAGGATGTGGTGAAGAATCTAATGCCGTTGCTGGTGAACGTGCTCGAGTGCTTGGATGCGTCGTATCGCATCAATCAGGAGCAGGATGTGGAGGTGGAACTGCTGCGCGAGGATAATGAGCAGCTGGTCACGCAATATGAACGTGAGAAGAGCGCACGCAAGCAGGCCGAGCAAAAGGTGAGTGAAATGAGTGAACAAATTGACACTTCACCTACAAACTCCATACACACTTGTAAATCACACCTAACAGCTGCTGGAGGCCGAGGACTTGGCGGAACAGGAAAACAAGGAGCTAGCCAGTCGTCTGGAGTCGCTGGAAAGCATTGTGCGCATGCTAGAGCTCAAACACAAGAACAGTCTGGAGCATGCGAGTCGGCTGGAGGAGCGCGAGGGAGAGCTGAAGAAGGTAAGGGGAATCACCGAACCCCCAAACCCTAAAAGAGTTCCCTCATTAACCGTACTTATTACACACAGGAGTACAACAAACTACACGACCGTTACACAGAACTCTTCAAGAACCACGTGGATTACATGGAGCGCACCAAAATGCTGATGGGCTCGACACACTCACAAATGAGTTCGGCCTCCGATCGCCTTGATGTGAATCGTGCACGTCTTAATCCTGTGGCACGTAGCTCGGGACCCGTCTCGTATGGCTTTGCCTCGCTGGAGAATTCAGTTATGCTCGACACAGAGACGATTTGCAGTGTTGGCAGCAATTCTGATGACTCGGGACCGCCATCACTGCAGAACGAGCTCGACAATTTGGCCGGCACTGTGGAGCGTGGTGCCGAAACGGATGCGCTACAGCAACAAAATCAGGCCACCTCTCCACAGAGTCCCGACAGTAGTCCGATTGTGCCAAATGTGCCCGCAAATGGTGAGTTATTTGAGACTTAGGCATGCAAATTATTGTGTCTTAGAACTAACTGCAAACACTTGTACTAATCTTCTTCTAATTTCTCTCTTATTTGTGTTAACCACACCACCACAAAAACAATAATAATAATAATAATAATTATCCACCAATCCAACCACACAAGTTGGTCGCACGACTACCAAAAAGGAGCAACGCTCGGCCAACACTTTGTACCAAGAGTTGTCCTTTCAGGATAATGAAGAGAGCGAAGAGAATGAAATTGTTACTGGTAAGTGCCACCGAGACGAAGATAGGGAGAATTGAATACACTGTAACTAATTGGGTTACCGGTCGGGGTCACAAGTTTTAAGAGCTCCCAGCACAAGCTTTTTTTTTAAACTCAATATCCTGCTTTTTCTCTCTTTTTGTATATTCCAATGCCACCCAATGCCACAACACAAATACAATTACAATAACACAGGCAGCTGGGTACATCCTGGAGAGTACGCTTCCTCAGGTAGGTACAACAACAACAACAACATTCAAGAACAACAGCAAGCACAACAACAAACACCACCACCATACAATTCCTACATATATGGATTCATCTATATAACCTGTAAATACATTAAATATCATATCGACTAAAATCGATTGAGAACTATAAGGATCTTCTAGTTTGCAATTTTGTGATATGTGTGTGTTGGAAATTTTTAATTCTCGAAATCGATTGTGTTTCACGTAGAAAACATCAAATAAAAATTGAAAGAAACAAAAATAAAACGTATCATATTTTTAACGATATTCTCTATTTTTTAATGCCGAAACATTTCACTTATCTGAAACATTTTCCTCTTTCTCAAAATTCATTACGTTCTATAAACAAAATACCAACCCAACAATTTTTCTATATATGTATGTATATATATATATATATATGAAATTGAAGCTAACGACAACTATTTTGGTAAGTTTCAACAGCGTTATGATATGCTTATAAATAGATAGTACGTAGTGTCTATCGTAGAACCTTTCCTATCGCAACATAAGCGCGTAAGTAGTTATTGGAAGTGGGACCCATAAATTGATTATTAATTTTCAATTCTCATCCAGTGGTGATTTGTAAGATTTTCACAAAAATTATTTGGTTTGGTTGTTAAATTATCTTTGGATTTGGTTTTATTTAAATTTGTTTACCCTGTACCCGATTGTCGGTGAAAGGCGTCTTTCGAGACGAATCTAAATAGACTTGTTCGTCTATCCGCTTTTGTTTGTCTGTCTGAACATCGATCATATATGAGCCATAATAGCTCTGGACACCAAACTTACTATATAGACGTGTCTTATCCACATGCATATAGAGTTAATCCTTATCTATATAAATATAGCCTTATTATTAAATATTTATTTGTATTTTTAAATACATTTTAAAGTTTCAATAAAATTTTTGCCAATATTTTAAAGTTCCATTGAAACCGCATCACTACTTTGTATAAATAATTGGTGCAATAATGTTAATACTTGTAGAACTATGTGAGAGGGTTCGGGTACAGGGTATACAACACTCGACTCGTCTCTCTTATAGATCTTTGGATTTTGGTTTCGGAATATAATTCATTGTCTTAGCTCCCATAAAATCAAGCTACAAGTACAAGCTTTCACAGATGTCTATTTTCTGAAAGGGTTCCATTTTCGAGAGTTTTGTTTTGTTTTGGTTTGGTTTTTGGACTCTTCGATTAACATTTGAACATTAACATTCTCCTTCAATTTATCATTTAATATCGCACCATCGTTAGCTTAAGTTGCTTTTATTTCACAACGCTCTCATATTTTTGTTCACTTTTCTGCAACACTAATGGACATTTTTCGAACAATTTGCAGGAATGGGCAAAGAGGTGGAAAATCTCATCATGGAGAATAACGAGCTGCTAGCAACCAAGTAAGTCCAAGTCCCCCAAAGGCACAACAACCCACTTATGTCAATCAATTTACTGAACCATAGAAATGCACTCAACATTGTGAAGGACGATTTGATAGTCAAAGTCGATGAGCTGACGGGCGAAGTGGAAATCGTGCGAGAAGAGTTAAATGCAATGCAGCAGTCGCGCACGAAGTTGAGGCAACGCATCAGCGAGTTGGAGGATGAGCTCAAGAAGACGAAGGAGCAGGTGAAGCAACAAAGTAAGTGGACACGGATAGTCTAGGGAATGTGAAATGTGAAATTTATACATATATTCCCAGCAGACAATGAGCAAGAGGAGAATGACGTGCCATTGGCGCAGCGTAAACGCTTTACACGCGTGGAGATGGCGATGGTGCTGATGGAGCGCAATCAGTACAAGGAACGTCTGATGGAGCTGCAGGAGGCAGTGCGTCTGACGGAAATACTCCGCGCCTCACGCACCGTCGACAATCTGGATAAGAAATCGAAGCAAAGCATTTGGAAATATTTTAGTAATCTTTTTACGTAAGTCGTAGACTGGAGTGTTTTTGGTTCAGTTAATGATTGTTTATATTATAGCCCCTCCAATCGCCCGACGGAGCGCATAGCCGACGGGCTGGGAGGGGGGCCCATGTTTCGTCACACCGGCGGAGGAAGCCCTGCCCACAGCCATGGATCCCCTAGCCGTGGAGGAAGCGACAATCGCCTTGCCTTAACAGGCAGCCAGCCGCCGCCGCATCCGGCCAGCGCAGGCCTAGCCAATGCGCTAATACAGCCCAAGGATTATGCGGAGGAAGGCACATCAGAACGCATTAGTGCCCGTCGTCGCGAGCAGTATCGACAGCTACGCGCCCATGTCCAGAAGGAGGATGGACGTCTGCATGCCTATGGCTGGAGTTTGCCCATCAATAAAACCAACCAGGACCAGCCAAATCGCCACTCAGGCGGTGTGCCCGTCCCAGTCTATTGTAATCCATTGGCCGAGGCTTCGCCGCACATGAAGGTCTTCTGTGCTGCGGGCGTTAATCTCAACGGAGGCTTCACCAAAGACGGCCAGTCCCTGATACCCTCAAATTCCCCGTATGCGCCACGTTCCACACTCAAGATAGCTGAGATTACCAGTCCAACGGTGGAGCATAGCGCCGAAGCGTTGGACCGTCAGATGGCGCGTGCCAGTCTGGAAACATTGGAGCCGGAAACGCAACTAAGCTCATTTGTCTGGATATGTACGAGCACCCATGCCGCCAGCACAGTGACGGTCGTGGATGCGAATAATTCGGCGACTGTACTCGATGCGTTTCCCATTTGTGCGTCGCATTTGTTGTGCATTGCCTCCGTGCAGGGCGCCATGGAGAGCGATTATGCCCTGCTGGAGCAGTCGGAGGCCATCAAGGCTGGTGAAATGCTGGAGCGCCCAGGCGAGGGCACCGAACTGCTCGGTAAGGTGGAGTTTGTGCGTGTCCGGCCCAAGGCGGACAAGAACAGCAACAACAAAGAAGGTGATAGCGAACAGGAGGCGAATGAAGCAAATGGAACGAACGAAACGACGACCGCTACCTTAGCAGGCATCGCCGAAGCTAAAGAGGCTACCGAGAAATCTAATGAGCAGCTGGGCACTGTGGACGCCACCGAGCCGCTGGGCAATGTGGAAGCCATTAAGATACGTCAAGCGCTACCCGGTGTCCCACAGCGCCTGTCCAACGATGGCAGCATTCTAGCCAATGGCAATCAAGCCAACAACAATATGGCAGCAACACAATTAGCGACCAGATCGCTGAACCCGATACTCGGCACAAAGGAACGCGAAGAGCCGGCGATGAGCTCGGTCGGGCCGACCATGTGGCTGGGCGCCCAGGATGGTTGGCTTTATGTGCACAGCAGTGTGGGGAGGTGGCATTCCTGTTTGCACAAGGTACACCTGCCCGATGCGGTGCTAGCGATAGTTCATGTTGAAGCGCGCGTTGTCGTGGCCCTAGCAAATGCCCAGTTGGCTGTGTTCCGCCGCCAAACAGACGGCCAATGGGATCTGAATAGCTATCATCTCGTAACGCTCGGCGATCATAATCATTCGATACGTTGCCTCTGTGTGGCTGGCGAACGCATTTGGGCCGCGCATCGCAACAAGATCTTCATTGTCGATCCCATCTCGTTGAACATTGTCCATTCGCTAGACGCGCATCCGCGTAAGGAGAGCCAAGTGCGGCAAATGGCAGCCACTGGTGCCGGCGTTTGGGTATCCATACGGTAAGTGATGATACCTGATAACGTTTCAAATACGTACAAAATGAAAGAAAATTATGGTACGGCAACTAAGACTGTCACTTAACCGAAAAAGTTGAGCCCAAGCCATCCGAAGCATGAATGAAAATATGTTTATACTATGTACATGAAATGTACAAGATTATATTAGGTTTGCGGGAGCTAAAAAGTGTAGCAGACAGAAGGAGGCGTGGCAGACCCCACCAAGTATATATATTCTTGATCAGCATGACAAGATGAGTTGATCTATGTCTGTCTGTCTGTCCGTACGTATGAACACCTAGATCTCAGAGACTATAAGAGCTAGAGACACCAAATTTTGCACAAAGATGCATTGTATGTGTTTGTTTTATTTTTTTAATTTTCCCCCCACTTACCCTCTATGGGGGATTTCCCGACTTTCCATTCGTATAATCGCCCATATCTCAGAGACTATAAGAGCTAGGGACACCAAATTTCCAGATCCTTATGCCCTATATTCTAGGGTATTGAATAGAATAGAACATACATTTGCATTAACCCATGTATACTCCTTTTACAATTTGGGTGCAGAGTATAATTATTAAGATGGGAAATCAAAATATTTTTGAACCATTAACACTAATTGTTATTATTTCAATGTACAGTCTGGACTCGACGCTGCGCTTGTACAACACACACACGTTCGAGCACAAACAGGACGTGGACATAGAGCCGTATGTGTCGAAAATGTTAGGAACCGGCAAGCTGGGCTTCTCATTTGTGAGGATCACAGCGCTGATGGTGTCGTGCAATCGTCTGTGGATTGGCACCAGCAATGGTGTCATTATATCTGTACCATTGGCGGAGGGTCAGCAAAAGTCATGTAAGTCTTGTAGATTCAAGTTTTAGTGACTCCATTTCACAACTCTTATAAATTTATATATATATATTCTATAGCTGATCCCCATGGCCAAATGCCGCTCTGCTGCATGGCCAATGCTCAACTCAGCTTCCACGGACATCGGGATGCGGTGAAGTTCTTTGTTTCGGTTCCGATGCTCCAACAACCCAATGCTCCCCTCACCTTCACCAACAAACGACCCGACATGTTGGTCATGTGCGGTGGGGAGGGTTATATTGATTTTCGCATAAGTAAGTAAATGGCTGTCTGTATTACACATACATATATTCGAACCATTTTATAGTAGTCTAGTAGTTGCATCCCCTCTATATATATATAAATCATCATTCCATTCTCTGCAGGACATGATAAATTCGATGATAGTGATAATGCTGCGCATTTGATAGTTTGGAAAGTCGATACGTAAGCGTTTTATTTCAATTTTTTTTCTATTATTTTTTTTTATTTACTTTATTTTACGTTGCATTTTAGTTTGTTTAGCTTACTTATATTTTGAATAACTTTTTGCATTAATCAGTTGCATTTGTTTAATCATATTTCTTTGCCTGTAGTACCTTCAATTTGTAGTACTCCGCCCTGCCGGGCTTGGGCTTCATAGGCCCCGTTAAATTGGAATGCAGCCGTGACCTGAACTAAAAAAAACAAATACCCCTAAGGTTCTTGTGCAAGTTTTTTGTTAAATATGTTTAGTTTTATGTTTTTCTTACAAACTACGTTTTCAAAATAGCACCAAAATGTTCTTTACAAGCACCAAAGTCTCTGTCCGCACCCACAAACAAAAACAAAAATATATCCAAAACCATCACAAAAAGTGTTCTTTCCGCTATTGGTGTATTGTCCTTTGTCCTTAATAATGTACAAACAAAATTAAGCTTCAAGGGAACTCCTTTCAAAAAGGAAATATCATCTTCATAGAGTTAAACTAGTATTTGTTACGTTTAAATTCGTTTCGTTTTTAATTTGAAGTTATTTTAAACTTTTCGGTTATTTTAAATGTTTTAGTTTTAATGTTCGTAACTTCTTGCTTTTGTAAAAAATTAAAACGTTTAAAATTGCGCACAGTCACTTTTTTCAGAAGAGAGTGGAGCCAATGCACAGAAAAAAATACTGACTACAATGTGGAAATTGTTGGCTACCCCTGAAAAATATTTTTATACTCTGTACATGAAATGTACAGAAGTATATTAGGTTTGCGGGAGCTGAAAAATGTAACAGGCAGAAGGCAGCATAACGAGACGAGTTGATCTAGCCCTGTCTGTCTGTGTGTCCGTTTGTCCGTCCGTATGAACACCTGGATCTCAGAGACTATAAGAGATAGAGATACCAAATGTTGCACAAAGATGCCTTATGTGTGTACGCTATACGAGTTTGTTTTATTTTTTTGATTTTCCTTCCACTTCCCCCCTATGGGAGTTTTCCCGATTTTCCATTCGTATAATCGCCTATATCTCGGAGACTATAAGACCTAGGAACACCCAATTTTAGTCCAAGATGCCTTATGTGAATACGCAGAAAATGTATATTTTGGAATTTCCTCACGAAATTCTTGGAATTTCGAACTAAAATTTTGCAAATACCCCTAGTTAGTTATTATGTGTCCGTATGCCAAGTTTCACTATGATAGACCGATTTAACAAGAAGTTATAGCCATAAATATATTTGCTGCTACAGCGCTCTTAATTTTGATTAATTTTTTTTATTTTCTATAATTATTGTAAACATATGTACAGAGTATTTCAAAGTCGGGACACCCGACTTTAGCTTTTTTACTTGTTTAATACTATTTTTTTCCAAAATTTTATTAGGGACTTATGGAACTTTTAAAATGTGTAGATATATTGAAGTCAGATAGATAAAGAACAAAATAATTGTTCGATAAATATTGTCTGAGAAGTATTCTAAAAGTTATTGGAATTAATTTGTTAATTTATGAAAAACAAATTTTTGAAGTTATTAAGTGCAGATTTAAAAATATAAATTGATTGTAGATAAGTCTCAAAAACATTTCAAAGGTACAAAGGTCATAAATATTTTATGATCCCGAGCATTTGATAACAACATCCAACATCCATAATAAAATTATCAATTTCCTTCAACCATGTATTTTTTTTCAATATTAATACAGAAATGGTAATTTCTTTTAAATTTTAAAATGATTCTAGGTATATTTAGGAATATATACAACATATATAATTATCATATATAAGAATGTAATATGTCTAATATAAATCACAATGTAGAAACAAGTATGTAAATACTTAATGTAAATATTTTGCCTAAAATATGCCTAATATCTCAGCAAAACTAACAATCTAATGCTGCGTTCAGATACTCAAATAATTTGTAAAATAATTCTTGAAATATTGCTGATTAAAACGTATTTTATGACATACTTGTATTTGTAAAAATATAGAACCAAGCCCTTAGGTTCTCGTAGTGATATTACTGAATTGTGCCACTCTCCTCTGATAAAATTCAAATTTCACGAATATTCCATTATTAAAAGGTCTAATAGGTAAAAAAAATCTTAGTCTAACAACTTTTAACAGAAGAAAATGAACACTTTTTAAATAAGTATTTCCTTTGTGCTTATGTGTAAATTGCAAAGTGAAGCTAAACAATGTCGTAAAAGCATTTACTCAATAATTTGTTTTAAGACAATGAAACAAATACTAATTATGAATTTTTTACAGATGACAATGACATGGAGCACAGTATTCAACTGGAACCAAATCAGACGATCGAGAATCGTGGCGACAAGAGCTATTTGATAGTGTGGCATGTTAGCAAACGTTAATTTGTTAAAATGCAAATGAATGAATATTTATAAAAACAGTTAAAATGCATACAATTTAGAGGTCTGCATGGCTGTATTCGGCTGGCTATTAATTATATTCATTCACCTGCTTTCCAGTTTTTTCGATAAAGGAAAACCTTCGTCACGCCCACACCATCAAATTTCTTGCGAATGCCTCAAATCGGCTTTTGAGTGCATTCATGCAGCCCTCTAATACAGAACCCCTAGTTGTTTAAACCTTTGCAGGCTAGCTAAAAACCAATTACCTTAAATCTAGAGTTTAACTAATTAATTTATGTTTGCTGCAATGTCAAAGCGCATTGTTAACACTTTTGGGCACTAAATCCAAACGAACCACATAATAATTATTAATTAAATAACTATTAATTATGCTATACACCGTATAAAAACGTAGCTATGTATTAATTATGTATTTGTTTAAACTCTTGCTTCACATAAACCTACAACTAATACTTTAATTGTCAGTGATAGCCAACTAAATATTACACTATATATGCAAAGTATATACAACCTCTATGCAGTAAGTTTAAAATTTGTACATTTTATGCGTTCTTAAACAAAAAGTAATACACAAATAAGTGCGCCTTTTATAAGCAATTAGAGCGTGATTTTTTGTCCAAATATTTGTAGTAGAATTTTATGTTTAATTTATGCGAAATATACGTACATATAGTATGTCTTATTTCAATTTATATCGCTTATTGATTTCGAACGAAAAGATTGTTACATATTATTAGTTTTAGTTGAAACGCTTATTATTACTTTGGTTGTTATTAATTTGTTCGTAAGTTTTAGTTTTTAAATAAAACGGAGAACCGATTGCTGTATGTTTTAATTTTCCTTGCACGTCATTTAGGACTGATTATGTTGATCAACTGCTTAACTTTTTCGTTTTCAAACATACCGTGAAGACTTTAAATATATATATATATATATATATTTGCAAAGGAAAGGGGGATTTACTGCTTAAAGAAACAACACCTCTTTTTAATTTATGATGAAAGTTTAATATTTAATCAGTTCATTAACCTTTTGTTAAGACGCTAAATATGTGGATTATTTCCGCCAGGAAAGGGTTGATTAACTGCTTAAAGATGAGACCTTTTTGATTTCCAGCAACAAAAACATTTATTAACCATTTAACAAAACTTCTTCTTTGCTAATTTATCATACAAGTTTAATGTTTAACCAGTTAATCACCTTTAATGAAGACCCCAATCATCCTCAGTTTTGTTTAAGGACGCCAGAAAAGTGATATTTGTTTTGCGAATTCATTAAAGGCATTCAATATACATAAAAATTGAATTATACAATTTTTAAAGTTCAAAAACAAAAAATGAAATAAATTAATAATAAAAGGCATAAGACGTTGCATATTAGCTTTGGCTTTAATTAAGCAAAGATTAAAAACATATATTATTGCAAAGAGAAACATAAGTACTGTAAATACGCCAGATTTATTATAATATCATAACAGTAAATTATGAGAAATAAAATAAACAAATGAAAATCTACAATTGCTATAAAGCGACAGTTCAGTAAATAATAAAGTCATTGAAAAGGACGGCGGAGTTTTTAAGGTCTTATTCAAATTTTACGAAAAAAATGATCATTGTTTCTATTATGACCGGTAGAACCAATCTCGGGGAAGCAGGACAAGAGTGAGGTTCTATAAATGTATGGTAAGTTAAATGAAAACTAATGCTGATAAAGTGGGACAAATTTGATAAAGCTTGGTCAAAGCGGTGCATGTAGTATGTATGCGTGCCTCTTCAAAATGACACGTACCAGGAAAAGTAAAAGCTGCATTGATCTTTTGATTGTGGATTTTTGGAGGCGAGGAAATCCACAAGAGATCGTGGTGTAAGTATATTGGAAGCCAAAGTGCTTAAGAATTTTTCTCAGGAGTGAAATCTAAGATTTTCTCAAATTTTGTGTTCCCTTTTTGACAACTAAGCTACTGGATTTAAATGAAATTGGAAAAGGTTGTTTCTATTTAAGCATAAAAAGTAAATTGTTTGTAGGAAACGTGATAAGAAATATAACAAGCTATAAATAGTGTACTTTAAAATATTTAGCAACAGTACTTAAATTCATTATAAATCTATTTTTTTTTTTTTGTGTGGGTAAGTATTTCAAATTAGATCAGTATGTTATGCATAGTTGTTTTTAAAACAAAAACTTGTATTTCGAGAGATATGGGAACCAAATGACATATTGTCTCACACACACACTTCACTAAAGTTTCTTCTATAACTTAAAAGTATATTAATTCTTACCTAACCATACTAGAGTAGAGTTGCAATTTATTAAGTAAATGAAGATATAACTAATAAATTTAAGTTGTTTATTAACTTTTTCAAAAGGAATTTTTTTTTCAGTACTTGTTCTTTAAGTATTTTACATGTCTGACCACATTCAACTGTGAATTGGCTACAATTCAACAACAATTAGCTGCTGGGTAAATTATTCTAATTATAATTGTATTATAAATATAACCAGATTTTATTTATTTAAACTTAAGCTCCTACAAACTGAAATGAGTTGCCGGAATACCAATTTTGATACTTCACGCAGTACAGCGTCTAGGTGTCACTGCTCGTGTCACGAAGTAAGTGCCCATCTCGAAATGTGAATAAGCCAGTTTCAGTTGAATTGGCAGCTCTGGAGAATGATGTTGGTTTCAGTAAAATTGCAAGGACGCGGGTCGATCTCTTTATCAGAATCTCCAATGTAAGTGGATATATAACGTACTATGGCCACATTATTTGATGCATTCCGGGGACACTATGTAATCTCGATCTTCGGAATACTGCTGTTTCTGGCCGGCAGCGTCTTTCTCTATTGGAATGAGGTGAGTTCTCCAGCTATGGATACCAGTTGCATATACAAATTTTGATAAGTACTTATTGTTACTCAACAGGGTCGAGCGGTGCTTACACAATTATCACTGGACGAGACATATAACAATATATATTCGATTCAGTTCACGGAGGAGGAGCAGGACCAGAATTTTGAGGGACGCATTGTACATTTGTCGGGCTCTCTGCTCATTGGGGAGCCATTGACGGAGCCGGATTATAATATACAGCTGCTTTCAGTGAAGCTGAAGCGACGCGTTCAAATGTATCAATGGGTGGAGGAATCGGTGTAAGTGCTAGGCGAAGATATTACGAAACACCGAGCTAAATAAATGGTAAATTCTTTTGCAGGGAAAACAACTATGGCGAAAGTGTGGGAACGGTTCAGTCGGATACGCGTACCTATTACTACACGCGGGAGTGGCGGGACAAGCTCGTGGATTCGCGAAACTTTTATAATCGCTATGGCCACACAAATCCCAGCCGATTCCCCATCGAGAGCAACGTTCAGGTGGCCGATGCCGTCTTCATTGGCAAGTACGAACTGAGCACAGAGGCTAAGGCAAAATTCAATGATTTCAAGGAGCTGACGTCGGACATTAGACCCGAGGATAGCGGCATTAAGTTACATCTGGGTCTCTATTACCATGCGAACGATGTCTTCAATCCGGAGGTGGGAGATTTGCGCATTCTCTTCAGTTTTGCCGGTATGGAGGGTGAAACGTACAGCATTGTCGGACAAATTCAGGGAAATAAATTGGGTCCATTCATCACATCCCGTGGCGTGCCTGTGTTGCTCGTCCATCCAGGCGCACTGAGCGTGTCGGAAGTCTTTAAGTTGGAACATAGGGCGAAGGTGTTGAATACCTGGTGGTGGCGTTTCATTGGCTGGATTTTCATCTTCTTTGGCGTCACCTGCAATGCCAAATTGTTGCGGCAAATGTGTAAGTGTGGAGAGGAGCTTTTTTAGCGTTCGAAGCCTTTAAAAACGGTGCCTCCTACTTGTTTCCCTTACAGTGCTGCAAGTTCCTCTGCTCGCTGTGCTGGCGCCGGACCCGCAGTTTCCCATCACCAACAATTTTCTCATTGCGTTTTCACTGGCTCTTATCATAGCGGCCGTGGCGTGGATCCTGAATCGTCCACTGATAGGCGCTTGCCTATTTCTCGCCGGCGCCTCGCCGTTCGTCTGGATTACCCGCAACTTAGTCGACTATCAACGCGTCGATTGATGTATCGATTGATTGAGCTTAAGCCAAATACAGGTTCCTTAATGTATCTACGTATTTATTTATTTTGTGAGTTTTTGTTTTGTGTCTGCAACAAACTGGTCGCAAAACCAGGCCCGTGTCCATGTGCTATCAGCTAACAATAAAAACTTAACAACTTATCAACTACAAGGGGTTACTTTTAAGCTTAATTTCAGAATTCCCTGACCAAGCCAGCGTTGCTGCCTGCAGCTGCGCCTGCTGAGCCCGCTCCTCCGCCCACATTGTGCCCGTCACCCAGGGCACCAGCTGTGGATGCCACAGCATTACTGGACTTGGGCGTGGACTCTGTGGACGTATGAACGCTGGGACTTTGTGACTTGTCCTGTTCCTCATGGCAGGCCGTCGGCTCCTCGAAACGCACGAAGGGCTCGAAACTATTGTTGATCTGGACGGAGCCGCGATGCAAATTGGAGGACTCCGCCTCGAACAGTATCTCATTGATAAACTTCTCGGCCAGCAGTCGCTGATCGCGTGGCAATCGCTTCAACTTGTGCGTCCAGGTGCGTGCTATGGACTCCTCCTCAGGATATGTGCCCGCGAGATACTCACACGCAATATTGAGCAGCTCATCCGTATTGTGGGTGCTTACGTTGACGTTGCTGCTGTTGTTGTTGTTATTGCTGCCGCCGGAGTTACAGGGTGGGGTTTGACGCGCCCGCTTCGGTGTTCCATAATCCGCATGCGTGGACTGATGCGCGGACATGGGGCCAACACTAGATGGTGGTGGTGGCGGTGGCAGTATTTCCACTTTCTGCACATGCCCGAATGATTTGTGAAACATTTCCGATATGTTGGGTGTCTGTCCGCCAGCTCCGCGATATGGATAATGCAGAGCGGCAGCAGCTGCGGCTGCAACTCCACTATTGCCATGCTGCTCCATGAAGCTGGTGGTGGAGCTGGAGTTCTCGTTGAATGAAAAGGGCTCGTTCTTGAAAGTGGGATTCACGGCTAGGAATTTCTCAGTGTTGCGCAGAAAATCCAACTCTTGGAATGTCCAGCAGCGCGGCGTGTGCAGCGTTCCCGATCTTATGGCGCTCTCCACCACCTTCAGTTCCTTGCGATAGTTGGTGCGTAGCGTATTTATTTTCTTCTTTACGTCCTCCACGGTTGCGTCGCGCTTTAGATAATGATAAATGGGCACCAACCGCTGATAAGCCTCCGCGCGCTTTTCCCGATTCGTATAGTCGCGCAACGATGTGTCCCAGAGAACGGGCAGATCTCTGTAGGTCTGTATGAAGATGCGCAGATAGTGTCTGTTTTCTTCGGCGCCCGTCATCAGCTTAATGCTGTGGGGCGGCGGTTGGTGGAGCATTTTTGAAATCGACTTTCAAATCTGCTAGCCGTTGAAGCAGACGGAGCGAGCGAAAATAAATAAATAAACAACAAATGTTCTCTGCGTACCAGTGCGAAAAAAAAATGGCAAATGTATGTATTGACGAAATGTCAGTGGGGCTGTTATTGTTGTAGTTGTGCTAGTGGTGGTTTGTTTGACAGATTGTTTGGCATATTGCTGCATTGACGTAATGCGACGGTGTGCGTGACGTCACAGCAACAAGTGTTGCCGCAGTCTCTGTTATTTATCCTGAACTCGGTGTGGTAGCACTGTGTGGTCGGTCTATCGATATGAGTTTTGGTACAGCTTTTCCCACCACTAGCACAGCCGTGCTAGCGACGTTGGCCGTTGTGGTTTTGATTTTTAGTTCCAACGCGCGGCCCAGTAGCAAATTTTCGCGTCCGCAGTGCAGATTAATTTGTGAAAATTGTTTTATAACAATTAGGCGTATATTGCTGCAAATTTTAAAAAAATCAACGCACACACATTGCTCCAACACAAAGTAGTGAGACTCCGAATAAAAGTGACGCGCAATGAAAATTCATTGAATTCGTGTGCGCGTATGTGTGAGTGCGCTTGGCTCGAAGTTCTTTGCGCGCGCCGCTTTCAATTGAGTCGCGCTTATTTTTAACTTTGTTATGTCCGCCTTTGCCAGTGCATCCCCTGTCGTTACGCCGGCTAGCCATCGGCTCAGGGTCAGATTCGACCGCGACAGGGGTGCGGCAGACCAACAATGAATTTATATTTTTTTATCAAACACACCTACTCATATTGTCGGCTGAGGGACGCCTGTGGAATTTGGGTGGAGTTGTGGCTACTTTGGTGTCATGTAGCCGCGTGGCCCTCCCTACCTTGAGCCGGTTTTGGCATTTTGTTGCCGGCTCCCTTCAACATGCTTGCTTTGGTTTCCCTTCTGCTCCGGGACTTTAGTCACCCCATCTCACCCCATAAATGGATTCTACTCCAGACTCATTTTCAAATTTTAAATTTTATTACAATAAAAATATATTCGGGTATTTAGGCCATTGAGTTTTGGGACGCTGCAGTTTGTTGGCTCTTTGTGCCTATTTATCTTATTCGATTTTCGAACCTCCTAACCTACCTATACTCGAGTATGTGGTTATGAGGGGTGTAATGATATGTAATGACAAGGAGATAAACAAAAAAAAAAAACTGCGCCGCTCCAATACACATTCCAACCTCTTTTGCTTATATTAGACTTTATACATTTTCTTTTACTTTTCTTTTTTTTTTATGTTCTTTTTTCTTAAGTATACATTTGAATTTTTGTTTACAATATGGTTACTTGTTTGGTGTTGTGTTTCTGTTTAATGTTTTATATTATGTTGTGAATGGTTTGGGCTATGTGTGTAACAGAAAATTGTTAATTGTTTTGTGTGTTGTTTTTTTGTTTTGTATTTTACATTATGTGGCTATGGGATGAATGTGAGTCTGAGTGCTATGGAAATTCGGTGTGTGTTTGAATATGGTGTATGTGAACATGTATGGAGTGTATATAAAGGAGTGTGTGGTGTATATAAAATTTTGTGTTCTATGTTTGAGCGGAATATGTGTGAGTATTTAGTTGAATTTTGTGTTATATGCTGCACTGGTGTATGTGAGATGGCTATGTATATGTATGTAGGGTGTATATACAATTTTGGTTCTATGTTTGAGCGGAATGTGTGTGAATATTTAGTATTTTAATGTTGAAGGGTACTTAGCCCAGACTTCCAGTTGCATGGAAATTGGCCTGACTTCCGCTAGGGCCGAGGTCCGGCCTAAGACCCAGTACTGCCGGTCGGTGCTGACCCGCGCACAGCGCACTTCCCAGAACGCCCGCAGTTACTGCTACTCCTATTACATATAGTAAGAAATTAGTCACTGGCACACTGGCCCCTTTTTAGACCCTTACCTCTGCCTATGAAGCCTCGCTGGTGTATATCCCAACCCTCCTGTCGTCACTCCGGTGTTTGAATATTGTCTTCCGCTTATTTTGTCTCTTTTTTTGTTTTTTCCCGCAATAGCACGTGTCTCTCGCTCACTGTCCACAATTGATTTTTCTTCTTCCCTAAGGCCACGACTTGCCATTCCCCCGGAATTGCTATTTTACCCACTTTGCAACCCTCCTAATTGGTAGCACTGGTCCTCACCCCTCACGCACGAGTACTTGTTATCGGCCCGCTCCAGCTGCCAATCGCGCGAGTTGCCACTCCTTTTGTCCGACGACATTTGTGGTTTCCCAATACTGCCGCGCCGCACATAACACCACACTCCGGTTTTATTTTGGTGCCAAACGGAAGAAACGGGAGTGAGAAGCGCCGCGGTTCTTTCTCTGCCCAACGTAGGCCACCGCCCACACCCTGAGATGGGTCTCTCGGTCTACCGACGAACAAAGCCGGGCCTTAGCTATTGCTTTAAATCTTTGGCGTGGAAGACTCCCAACCGACGCCCGTGCATGTCCTCCAACTCGTACAGGCTGTTGCCCACGCTGCTCCGGACACGGCATTTCACATACTTGTGGCACAGCTTCGCGTTCACGTTGTCCTTAAAACGACTGAGGACAAAGTTTCGCCTGTAAATCTCCTGGCCAGGTACGTACGCTACCATCCTCGCACGCTTATCGTATTGCCGTTTCGCCTTTTCATATGCCAGGTGGACACTCTGCTGTACCTCATCCCGCACTGCCTTCTGCTGATCCGATCTGGGCAACATGCGCAATTCCGCATCCTCCAGCGCCCCCAACTTGCGTGCCAGCTTGTAATCCTTCCCGCTGGTGAACATGTGCTGCCCAAACAAAACGAAATACGGGGACGTGCCGATGCTGCCATGGATAGCACTGCGTGCTGCACACTGCACGTCCGAGAGCTTCTCGTCCCACTTCGTGTGGTCGCCCTGTACATATGTCCTGATGGCCGCTAACACTGTCTGGTTCACGCGTTCCGCCGCATTCGCCTGTGGGGCATAGTTCGCCGTGCGTACGTGGGTGATGCTCAGCCCCTGCAGGAACCCCGTAAATTGGTTGGCCACAAATTGCTTACCGTTGTCGGTATGGACGGTTTCTGGGACTCCAAATGCCGAAAACACCTCCTCCTGCAGAAACCGGACCACTGCCGCCGCTGTTGCTTTTGGCATCGCTCGCAACCACACGAATTTGGACAGATGGTCAAGAACAACCAGAATGGTGGTATTCCCTCTCCTGGACCTCGGATACGGCCCTAGAAAATCCAGATGCAGCCTCTGCATTGGTCGGAGCGATACGGTTTCGGCGCCCATTACCGGCCTCGCTAATTGCGTGCTGTGCTTTGTTGCTTTGCACGTTTCACAGCCGGCAACGTACCTCCTCACCTGTGCCACCATCCCGGGCCAGAAAAAAAACTGCCTGAGCCGTTCTATGGTCCTCTTCATGCCCCCATGCATAGCCGCGTCGCTCTCATGGGCCTGCTGTATAAGGGCTGCGGACACAGGACGCGGTACCCAGAGCTTCCAGGAAAATTCCTCTCGCTCGGGCCGCGTGAACTGCGCCCGCTTATACAACAGCCCATCCTCCACGCGTAAATCCGGAAATAGCTCCGCGTTCTCCCGCACTTGCTTCAGCCGCTCGGTATACTCCGCACCTTCGAACTCGGTTGTCTCGAAATCAAAAAAATCAACTTCCTCCAGTTCGAAAGGCCGTGAGAGGGTATCGGCTACAATATTTTCCTTGCCTTTCCGATGCTCAATATTAAAGTCGAACCTCTGCAGGGCCAACGACCACCGCGCTAATCGACCGTCCAACTCCTTCAATGACATCAGCCACCGCAGGCTGGCGTGATCAGTCACCACCTTAAACGGCATCAATTCAACGTACGGCCGGAATCTTTCGACCGCTTTTACTGCAGCCAGGCATTCCTTCTCGGTGACACTATAGCTCAGCTGAGCGCCCCGAAGCTTCGCTGAAAAAAAAGCTATCGGCCTTTCGGCCCCGTCTGCATCGAGTTGGAACAAAACCGCTCCTATGCCCGCTTGGCTCGCGTCACATTGGATCACGAACGGCTTCCGAAAGTCTGGATGCACCAACACTGGCGCGCAGGTGAGTGCCCCTTTCAACTCCTGAAATGCCGCAACCGCTTCGCCCGATAATTGGAACTTTCCTTTCCCTTTCAGGCAGTCCGTTAACGGCGCGGAAATCGTGGAAAAATTCCGAATGAAACGCCTATACCAGCCAGCGGTCCCCAAGAATCGGCGGAGCTGCTTTGCGCTGGTCGGCAAGGAAATCGCCCGAATCGCCTCGACCTTCTCTGGATCCGTCCGCAACGCACCATCGCCAACCACAAACCCCAGATACTTCAAGTACTTGTAGCAGAACTTGGATTTTTTTAAGGAAATCGTCAAATTGGCTACTTTCAAAGCACTTGCCACGTCCAGCAGCACCTTGCAATGATCCTCAAACGTTCTGGATATTATGAGAAGGTCGTCCAGGTACACGAATACATGGCTTCTCAAACGCTGGGGAATCACCTTATCCATCACCCGGCAAAGGCGCTGCGCCGCATTGCACAACCCGAACGGCATGGCCTTAAATTGATACAGTGGCCTTCCTGGTATCGTAAACGCGGTGTACTGCCGGCTTTCCTGATCCAGTTCGATCTGCCAAAAAGCATGCTTTAGATCCAGGCTGCTGATGTAAATGGTATCCTCCACTCGGCTCAAGATCGACTCAATGCTCTGGAGTGGGTAAGCATCCTTCACCGTGAGCTGATTTAGCTTTCTCGCGTCTAAGCACAACCGGTTCTTTCCAGGCTTCCTCACCAAAGTCACTCGGTTGCTCCATGGACTCTCACTTGGCTCGATAACCCCTAGCCGAAGCATCTCGTCGACTTCTGCAAACAATAGCGCCTGCACTGCCGGCGACACGGGATAAAAACGCTCTTTCACTGGCAGTGCCCCCTCCGTCAACTGAATGTGGTGCTGCTCCACTGGCGTCCTACCCAGACCGTGCTCCTCGAAGGATCTGAATTGGGCCACGACTCGCTGTAACTTCTCCTGTTGCCACGCCTCTAAATCGTGTGGCTCCGTTGGCGTACTCTTTCCTAAGCGCTCCTCCTCCAACTCAGCCACGTGCTGTCCTTCGTCCACAGCCGGGATCACATTCGGAGCCAAACCGAACCTGCGCCAAAAATCCACGCCCAGATAAAGCGGTTGGCACAACGACGGGCAAACGTGGAATACCATTTCCGACTCTGTTCCGTTATACCTAACGCGCGCCATCACGCTGCCAATAATGCAATGTGGCGCGCCGCCGGCTGTCCTTACCGCGGATTTGTTTTCGCGTACCACCAAACCTAGTTTTCGGACCGACTCTATGGCACCACTTCCCAGCAAGCTCACCGACGCCCCGGTATCCAACAGACCGGTAAATTCTCTGCCTTCAATCGCTACCGTAGCATATGGGCGGCTGTCGGAACGACATGCAGAATTCACCGCGGCACACACCGCCTGGCGTTTCTGTCGGCGTTCGCGGTGTCTCCTACGCGCCCGCAAGGATGTCTTCGACGCCCCTCTCGCATCCGGTTCGTGCTGGCTACCAAATATGCGGTTCCTGGCTACTTCATAGTCGCGCTGACGCTGCTCCAAGGGTTTCCGCTGCGACCATACTTTCTTCGGTGGGACTGCCTGGTTGACTTTATATATCTGTGAGTAAATATGACTAACGGTACTATCCTTATCGCTACTAATTCCTATCCTAACTACTGTATCATCGGAGGTACGCGTTTCACCGTCTACCGAGAGTGCGACTCCTCCGGCTGCGTCGGACTCCTCTCCGAGTTTCCCGGACGGCATTTCGGGCATCTTGGCAGCACCACGCCTGGCTGTCCGCATTTGAAACAAAACATATTGCGCACCGCCGACTCGCAATCGAAATATGTATGCCCTGGTTGTGCACAATTCCAACACTTGAGATTCGAGCGGCTCCCACCAGTTTCATGTGGCCTATATACCGCCTCCAAATGCTCCAGTTGGCCGCCTTGTGTACCTTCTGCTACCACGTCCAGCTCGTGTACTCGATGCTGCTCTCGCTGCTGCCCGTAGTTGGTACTGGCTGAGGGCCGCGCCCAACGCGTTGCCAGCATCTTTTCGGCGTCTTGGCACTCCTCTCTCAGCTTCTGCAGATTAGTTATATTCATCGGATAGATGACCCTAGACACGGTGTCTTTAATATTTGTCTTTATCACCTTAATAAGGTCATAATCCGAAAATGGACACACCAACCGAGAACGCAACACCAGCATCGCCTGAATATACTCTTCTATGCTCTCGCCATGCCGCTGCTTCCGCTCCCTCAGCTCCTGCTCTCGTTCAAACTCCGATCTTCGAGTCTGAAATTGCTGCTGCAGCCCATATCGGAGATTCGGCCAGTCCGGCACGCCCGAGGTACGTATGTACATCCAATACCAATCTTTCGCTCTCCCGTTCACCAGGCAGTGGAAGTCTCGCAACACGTCGGCCCAGGGCACCTGATACAAGGACTGCAAATGCTCCAATCGAAATATAAACTCTGCCACCGGCATTCCTTTGGTTTCGCCATCAAATACAAGGCCCCACTTTCTGATGTGGACGACGTCGGGCCGGGAGTCTCCCATCGTGGTTCGCCTTAATGGCCTGTGCACGTCAGGGCCCAAATCGCGCATCCACGGATCGGCTGAGAACTGCCGCTGCTCCACATGTGCCCGCTGTTCTGCCTCTAAAGTTCGGTTGTCGACGAACAGGTGAGTCGGTGCTGCAGCTGCTGGTCTACTACTTACAAAATCTCTTTCTTTCTCTGCCGGCTCGTACCCGCCTAAGGCTGGCCGCTGCATTTGCGCGTGAGCTCGCTCTGGCCTGCCCACCGGCGCCTGTGCTACAGACGGAGGCGCGCTATGCGTTCTCTCCTGCCTCAGCGCTGCCACTGCCTCATTAATCTCGCGCATGAACGACAGCATGCTGGCCTGCATCGTCTCTCGAATGGCCTCTACTTCTGACGACAACGATGCGCGATACGTCTCGTGGGCCTGTGCTAATGCCACGTTGATCGCTGACCGAATTTCGCTTGGCAGCGCAGACTCGGCTCTGCCACCCTGCTCTTCACCGCCATAGTCACGCGCGCGTGCGCCGGTTGTTGCTCCGGAACTGTTCGGAAATTCATCCCCGAATCCTCGGAACGCTGCCTCGTTTACACTCGGCGGCGATGCGTCATCATGGAGTGCTTCTGCTGGCTTGCCCGCCTCACTCAATCCTACGTGAGGAGGAGAGTCCAAGTGAACCAATGGCCTATTTCTAATAAACTCCTGACTCCGCCTGACCTTCCGGGTAACATTCGGGTCAAGATTCATTTCTCAGTACCTTGTTAATCCAAACCAAAAAAAAAACCACTGCTAGTACTCGGATCCGTACCCGCCGATTATAATATCAAAAAAAACTATATCTATATTATAAACGAGCAAACTCCGAATAAATAAATAGATCGGTCCACTCGTATGTATGTGTTTTCTTAAATGATAAGCGGGGATAATATCCTTAGCTAAGTACCCGTTGGATTATTTAATCCAATCAAATGCTTATGTATATATATATAGGAATACCATCAAACACACAACCAAAAAAAAGAATAAATAAATAAGAATAAATAAATAAGAATAAATAAATAAGAATAAATAAATAAGAATAAATAAATGAGAATAAATAAATGAGAATAAATAAATGTATACCAAAAGACTTAACAAAAAAAATACTAAGTGAAAAAAATTACTCCAAAAAAAAACAAACTAACGATAAGTTGAACTTCAAATTCCCGCCCTATGCACAGACCTGCTAATCTGTGCCAAAATACCCTGTCGATACTTATTAATATCGATGGTTCAGCCCAGGAACAGCTGTGCTTGACCGGGACCATTCACAATGGACTCCCCGTCTATTGATAATTTATTTGCTGCTACGCAAATAAATAAATAAAAGGTAATTAATACACTAACTGACAATAGCATAAATCAAAACAATCTTTCTTTACTCTCACAGGCTCAACACTAGACATGTAAGGGTGAGATGAGGATCCTCAGTATGACGCTGCACCACGGCACGCAGTCACTGTAGAAGGTAAACAACCAAAACAAACACATATGTATCGCACGCTTTACACCACCCAATTTCTTCCAGGCGCCTACTAAAAACTCAAATCTTGCTCGGGCTATGGCGAATTGCTGCTCCTATGCTCTGATACGTAGGGCAACGATGCTCCTTCCGCTTGGGACAGGACATGGACCTACTACGCAACCATTCATAAGAACTACCAAACAACCACAAAAAAAAACGGTAACTAACACAAAAAAAACATAAGGCAACTATACTATTCTTTACTTAACACCTGACAGACATTACTCTCTATCTTTCCAGCCTCAGAGCACCCTGTAGGGCAACAATGAGTGGGCACCAAGACCCCTCACGGACCTGCTACACTCGCTCCTTCGCTGCGCCTATTCTGCTGGTTACCAACCTACACCGCGCTGTAAGAAAGATGCAACTGCGGCAACGATGGGCTGAGCCCTAGTGAAGCTCACCCACGGACCTGGCAGTTGCACCGTTTCCCGCCAGCTCAGGGGCCGCCAGCAGCTATTGCTGTTGAAATTTACATGTAAACACTAAATAAAGAATACAAATCAACAAAAAAAACAAACAACAAGACTCTGGCTTTTAACTTCGCTTCGAACTGGGGCAACATTTGCTAAAATGTAGACCCAGGTGTATTTATATTGGGCGCCATCTTGTTATGTCCGCCTTTGCCAGTGCATCCCCTGTCGTTACGCCGGCTAGCCATCGGCTCAGGGTCAGATTCGACCGCGACAGGGGTGCGGCAGACCAACAATGAATTTATATTTTTTTATCAAACACACCTACTCATATTGTCGGCTGAGGGACGCCTGTGGAATTTGGGTGGAGTTGTGGCTACTTTGGTGTCATGTAGCCGCGTGGCCCTCCCTACCTTGAGCCGGTTTTGGCATTTTGTTGCCGGCTCCCTTCAACATGCTTGCTTTGGTTTCCCTTCTGCTCCGGGACTTTAGTCACCCCATCTCACCCCATAAATGGATTCTACTCCAGACTCATTTTCAAATTTTAAATTTTATTACAATAAAAATATATTCGGGTATTTAGGCCATTGAGTTTTGGGACGCTGCAGTTTGTTGGCTCTTTGTGCCTATTTATCTTATTCGATTTTCGAACCTCCTAACCTACCTATACTCGAGTATGTGGTTATGAGGGGTGTAATGATATGTAATGACAAGGAGATAAACAAAAAAAAAAAACTGCGCCGCTCCAATACACATTCCAACCTCTTTTGCTTATATTAGACTTTATACATTTTCTTTTACTTTTCTTTTTTTTTTATGTTCTTTTTTCTTAAGTATACATTTGAATTTTTGTTTACAATATGGTTACTTGTTTGGTGTTGTGTTTCTGTTTAATGTTTTATATTATGTTGTGAATGGTTTGGGCTATGTGTGTAACAGAAAATTGTTAATTGTTTTGTGTGTTGTTTTTTTGTTTTGTATTTTACATTATGTGGCTATGGGATGAATGTGAGTCTGAGTGCTATGGAAATTCGGTGTGTGTTTGAATATGGTGTATGTGAACATGTATGGAGTGTATATAAAGGAGTGTGTGGTGTATATAAAATTTTGTGTTCTATGTTTGAGCGGAATATGTGTGAGTATTTAGTTGAATTTTGTGTTATATGCTGCACTGGTGTATGTGAGATGGCTATGTATATGTATGTAGGGTGTATATACAATTTTGGTTCTATGTTTGAGCGGAATGTGTGTGAATATTTAGTATTTTAATGTTGAAGGGTACTTAGCCCAGACTTCCAGTTGCATGGAAATTGGCCTGACTTCCGCTAGGGCCGAGGTCCGGCCTAAGACCCAGTACTGCCGGTCGGTGCTGACCCGCGCACAGCGCACTTCCCAGAACGCCCGCAGTTACTGCTACTCCTATTACATATAGTAAGAAATTAGTCACTGGCACACTGGCCCCTTTTTAGACCCTTACCTCTGCCTATGAAGCCTCGCTGGTGTATATCCCAACCCTCCTGTCGTCACTCCGGTGTTTGAATATTGTCTTCCGCTTATTTTGTCTCTTTTTTTGTTTTTTCCCGCAATAGCACGTGTCTCTCGCTCACTGTCCACAATTGATTTTTCTTCTTCCCTAAGGCCACGACTTGCCATTCCCCCGGAATTGCTATTTTACCCACTTTGCAACCCTCCTAATTGGTAGCACTGGTCCTCACCCCTCACGCACGAGTACTTGTTATCGGCCCGCTCCAGCTGCCAATCGCGCGAGTTGCCACTCCTTTTGTCCGACGACATTTGTGGTTTCCCAATACTGCCGCGCCGCACATAACAACTTTAATTCGATTTGTGCAAAGGCAGTAATGCCCTGGCACTGTAGCTGATTGTGAAAATGCATAAAACATAGTAAACAGCTAAAAAAAATTATAAAAATAAACAAGAGTACAAAAAAGGAGCCAGCAGCAGCGCTCGCTGCGCTTCAGCTTTAGAGTGTGTGCGTGCGTACGTGTGTGTGTGTCGGGTATTTTGTTCTGCAAATAAACAAAATTATTATTGTGTTAAATATAAATAATTAAAGCCAGCTAGAGTTAATGTAAATTATATGTCATGGAGACCATAGAGGAGCAATCAAAATGCGGTAAGTGCTGGTGGCGCAGGTACTTCGAGATCCATAAAAATACTGCCAGCGTCGGAGTCTGCGACGCCGCCGCTGTCGACGCAGCACCCTCGCAAATCATCTCAAATTTTTCAATGTCGCTGCGGCGGATCCGCAGAAAATGGTCAGAACAGCAAAAGTGTATAAAAAATGTCGCTGGCAGCAAATAAATATTCTTTATAGTATATTACTTTTTTTGTTAATACCTAAGCAGGGCAAAATGTTTTTAATGCGACGAAGTATGAATACACTTGTAAATTTGTTTTGGGTAAATAATGGAATATATATGTAATTAGCGAGCGGCTTAGTCTAGATAACATTATTGAAATTCCTGTACGTATATCTCAAGTGACCAATCCCTTTTCTATAGTATAATATATCCACGAACCACTTGTTCCCTAGAAAACTATCGAACGATTTTGCTTAAGTGTGAGGCCTCTAACAGAAACAAAAGTCGATAAAATATAACAAGATAAACAAATTAAAGTTTCTCAAATAATAGAGTTGAAAAGGAAAATGTTTTGACGGATATTTTATACTGAGACTTTTTAAACAATCAAGTGCTACTTCATTTTTCTTATATAAAAAAATCTAAATGTTACAAACAGCAGACTGAATCTCGAATTCCCTTTGTGAGGGTATAACAATTTTTAAGAAACACGTCAGGGAATGTTAAGCTTTATTTTGTGAATTTATTTCTGTGTATATTTAGCGGCGGCGGCGCTGGCATGAAAATGTGTGCAAAACGCTTCTCATTCAGCCCAGAGCCCAGTCGAACGCAGCCCCGCAAGGACGGCACTGTACTGTAGATTAGGAAAACGCTTACAGAAACAACAACAACCACTATAGGGTGCTTTACGCACACACGCGCATTTCCAGTTCCTCTGCCTGCCATTCTTTCAGGTAGTTTCACGGCATGGGCTGCTGCACAAAATGATATTCAAGGGGTCGCTTTGTCATGTATTTCAAGGGAAGTTGTTGCTGTTGTTTTTGTTGCTGTTTTACCTAGACCGCCGCATCCCTACACATGTTGACAGCCCGCACATGCCAATAACAGCGCCTGTTGCCATGTAAAACCCAAAAAAAGAAAGAAGAAACACGCCGACGCTCAATGCTAATGACAATTTTGCGTATGCGACGACGAAGACTTTGAAGGTCTTCCCTCTCTCCCGCGAATTCGTGACCGCTACACGTCAAGGTTCTCTCGGAAAACATATGTAATTTTTATTACATACAAGATTCCTCTTTGATGAGCCCATTTCGTCCATTTGACAGTATCTGACTAAAACGCTTTCGCATAAATGCCACTCAATTAGTTTTTCATCACGCTTTTGGCCCACATCCAAATGATGCGGCAAGAAAAGCGCATGCAGCAAAAGCAGCGGTCCAAAAGGAAATTCCCAGCTACATATACGGTCAGCTCTTCCTTCCCACCTGTGTCACACTTTGTGCTTTCCTTGCACCATACCTTCTTGCACCTTCCTTGCCCGTCCCTTCCCTTTTCTTTCCTTTGACCACCTGTAGCTTCAAAAGCGAAATTTGCTATGCGATCGCATTTGATCGTCTTAGTCGCTCCTTAAACCTCAAACTCTGAGGGTCTGCTCGGCCACACCATGTTGCATTTGAGGGCACAAGCTGCCGCAACTCAGTTAACTACTTGCTACAAAAACAACAACAACAACAAGTTGGTCACGGTTCAAAGCCAAACCTGCTCGTATTTCGCTTATTTAGGGCCACAGCGGCAGGGCGAGGACTTGCAGCAAAGACAGCTTAAGCAACGGTCACTCTATCAAGTGTATGAGGATTTTACAGGTACCTATACACATACATATATAAGTATAAACCACACTGTCAAGTCAAAGGGGTTGAATTTTACAGCTTTGTGTAGGGAATGAAGCAATAATTGGAAACACTATTGAAGAAGGGGAACTAAAACACCGCCTGTAAATGCAATCGAAATGTAACTAAAATTCTGTAAATCTCTTAAATGTCGAGCTTTCTAGACTCGAATCTTTGTTACTTCACTTATTATTTTATATAATGAAAGTTCTCTAAACTGGATCATCAGTACATAGTATATTAGAATTATTTAAAAATAACAAAATTAACACTTTTTGAGCTGAGTCCACAAAGGAGCTAAATCTATAAGAAGAATGCTCGGTTTTTCTCTACCCATCTCTTATAATTCTCAAAGTGAAATAAATTTCTTGGGATTCCAAACTTCTTAGTAGTTCTTTTACCCTTAAGGTACCAGGTGTAGAAATTGGATAGACTGTTGAAAAATGAATATTAGAGTGCCGCAAAAATAAGAAATTCTACAAAAAAACGAAATGGAAGGCACAATGCGACAAAGTTATTAGCTAAAATAAGTAATATTTTGCAGAGAGTAATAGTACCTAGGACTACAGATATTGACTTGACATTTGACTTTGCACATTCCAAAATCTTTGTAATTTAACATTTAATTAAAAACATAGTTTAGGTGAAACTCTGTTGGAAGGTCAAAAAACGTTCTGATATGCAAATCGATTCACAGAAATGAGTTTAGGAGGGAGGGAACTGTCGACTTTCTTACGAAATTTCCCTCAGGATATCTGATGCATTTAACTTTGCGAAATATAATCTAATCTGGTGAAGCGATAAATCTTATAAACCCATTCTCAAACCCTAATTAACTTCAATATTAACTTTCTTTTAACTAGTTTAAGGACCACTTTTGGTAAGCAATTCTGAAGTTACCAAATTTTAGTGCGAAATTTCAAGAACTACGGGAGTTATGGAAAAAACATGAATTGTGTGTAGTGGGGGAGGGGGGGGTGTATCTGAATAAAAAATAAACATGACCTGCCTAGGGCTTATGGGAATCTGGATACCGAGTTTAGTTATTCTAGCTCTTGTACCTTCTGAGATCCTTGCGCTCATACAGACAGACGGACGGACAGGCGGACATGGCTATATGGACTCGACTTGTCACCCTGATCAAGAATTTATATACTTTGTGGGGTCTGCCACGCCTCCTTCTGTGTGTTACATACATTCGCACAAAACTAGTATAGCCTTTTACCCTTTGGGTACAGGCTATAAAAAGGAAAATGTTTAATACTTGATAAATGTTAACTGTATTGGTGAGTTAAAGCTCAACTACGGGCGACAAAATGTAAATCAAATCTAATTGTAATATCCAGTTCGTCGCTGAGAGAGCTCAAGTTTTATTTTCCTTCGATGTCTTCATCATAAAATGGGACTCCTAGTCAAAAGGAAACGACAAGCGTTGTGTGATAATGTTTTTCCCCATTTTGACGAGCTTCTCTAGTACTCGTACGCAGTTTGCCTGAAACTTTTAGGCGAAGTTCACACAATTTAAGCAATGTATCAGCTTATAGTTAAATTTAAGGAATTTTTTATAGACAAAGCTCTCCTCTAGATAAAACACCCAAGTGCTTACTGAGAAGCGCAATTGCAAGAAACTGTAAACTGTAACTATCTGCTCCTCCCATTAGTTGATGGAAAACATGAAATTATATTTAACAATATAGCATGGGTTAAGTTAAGCGACTTTTTTCGCGTCACTTCAGCTAACAACTTTTTGTTATCGTTGTTGTTAAATAACAACTCGTATATTTATCTGTGCCCGGGAACTTGACCATTTCGCAGCAGCATTGTTTAGATCGCAAAATCATTGTTATTATTTCAATTGTGTGTAAAGTTCTCAAAAATATCCGTGATCAGCAAGATCAACAAAAGAGACAGCTACAGTGGCTCCTGCAGAAAGGGGTCAAGATCCATTTCTCGATTTGTGGAAATTTGCAAAAATCATTTGATGACAGTCGTAGCAGAAAAGTTTTTTCCCATCGCATTCAATTTGAAATTTAGTGGCAGTTGCAATTTGTATTTATGTGTTTATCAATTGCCATTATTATTTATGCACAGGAATTTTATTTGAAACTTTTCCAAGATGCCTGCGTCATGCGGCAGTAACGTCGTCTCGCGTCTCCAATTCCAGTCTCTAGAACATCTCGATCGCCGGCAATTGCCAATTGGCGGTTACAGCTGCACAATTCTGGATAAAATTAATGCACAGCCAGGGGCTAAAATGAATTGCACTTGAAAAATTCTAGACAGTATGAGTGTGTGGGCGGCGGGCGTAGCGCTAAAAGCTGCCGCGACGCTATCATCGACAACGCCAATTTTTCTGTTGTTATGTTTTTGCATTTTTCGGGCTTGTCAAAACTAAAACAAACAGAAGGTTCAAGCAAATGTCTAGCTATGATCGCAGAGGGGGCGCGGAGGGGGACAAGGCAATGGTGTGCGCACATGCAAGACAAAAAACTAACAGAGCAATAATAACAATAACAGAGCAAATAGAGTTGTCAAGCTGTGGGTGTCTAGAACACAAAAGCTAAAGCTGCTCACTATTTATGAAGAAAATAAGAATGGAATGCTAGAGTCGAGCGGGTGCAACTCTTAAATACCCTTAAATACTTAAGTAAGCAGTCCAACAAAAAAAATAGAAAAAAAAAATATTGTAAAAATGCATTCAAATAAAAATTTAAATAACTTAATTAATTAATTTAATAAAATTAAAAAAAAATTCAATACTGTAGATAAGTGGAGACATCTGTACAGTTTCAACAGCATACATTTACATTAGTTACGGGGGTTTTGAAAAATCACTAATAGCGGAGGAGTGGGGGCGTATAAGAATAAAAATAAAATAAACTTGACCTGTCTAAGGCTTAGGGGAACCTCCATAGCAAGTGTTTTTATTCTACCTCTTGTACTTGCTGAGATTCTGGCGCTCATACAGACGAACATGGCTATATCGACTTGTCTTGTCATTCTGATCAAGTACATATTTAAATAGAATTTGGGCAATAAGCTATTATACCCATTTACCCTTTGTGCAAAATATATCAAACTTAATACTACTCTTTATTTAAACATTAATATTGCAATCAAATATTTGAAAATGTACATCTAGTCCACTTGGAAAACAAAATATAATACTACTATCAGGAATAAGAATCTGAAACATATTAATTTTTCTCGATTTCTATTACAATGCATTCCCAAATCTTTTGATATCAGTTTTGGGCTTTAAAAACAGGCTAAAACATACTAAATTGGCAACTCTGCACTCGAGTCACAATTAAAATTGATGTCAACAGCTCGCAAGTGGCTGCTAATGATAGACATCGAGGCTGCTGTTGATTATTCGTCTTTAACCCGATAATGCCCTTCAGCACTGACGTCTTGATATGTGCAGACTCGCAATTCTATTTGAATAATCGTGTGTTCACTTATTATTCATTCTGACTGCTTTGTTTATTTCTTGTTTGCTTTTCAAACACACTTTTTGCACAATTTTCTCTGTGGCTTTTGGCTGCTCCTATTCCTATTGCTCTAGTTATTTGCATAAGCAAGTGGGCGAGTGGGCGGGAGAGAAGAGGGGCTGGAATGGGGCTATAAATATAAATCATAGCCATTCGATGGGGTGCCTCAATTAACTTGTTATACACTGGTTCGCTTCTCACTCACTCACACACACTTCTACTTAATTTTCCATTTTTCAGAAATGTCCATTACGACGCTGCCCACGCGTATCTGTTTGGTGGGCGCGGCGGGGGACGATACATCGACTGTTGCTGCAGCCGAGAGTTTTGGCATACCCGTCATCGTATCGCCCACGGGTCTGGATCTCGTTAATGATATGGATTGGCGCACCTTCTATGTTTTGCCGGACTTTGAGTGCGAAACCTTCGAGGCCATACATAAACTAAAACAATGGTAAGTGATCCTTCATAGACGTTTTCTTTCCCCACCTTCTTTTGTTGTTGTTGTTGTACTCGTATTTTTGAAGCACAAATGTGTCAACAGCATCACCAAGTTCGTCAGCTTGAGCGTCTATTAATAACACCTTGCGCAAAAATAGACATTGAACGGCGTTCTGTAAGCCATTTTTACCAAAAACAACAAGAATTATACTTAAATGCTGGGCCCCCACATGCGGCTGTCAAAAGCGAAAAAAACCAAAGTGAAAAACCGAAACGCGCGCGTTACCCACAATTTGCCCAAAGAAGTGTCACATGGCACTCTTAAGTCCATCCAACAAAAGCTGCACAGAAAAAAAAAATGGAATGGAAGCTGTGTACGTGTATTATCGCAGTGGAAATACTCTTTCATAATCAGATTAAACGCTTGCAAAATTAACCAATAATGCGAAAAAGCAGTTTTAAATAATTATTTTCATATAAATTACAACAAATCGCTCAACAATAGTTAGATATCTCTGCTTTTAACACCCGTAGTCTACCTAATAAGGAAATTCCAAAAACAAATTTTCTGCGTATTCACGTAAGGCATTTTGGACTTTAAATTTGATATCCCTAGGTCTTATAGTCTCCAAGATATAGGCGATTATACGAACAGCGTTACGGAAAAACCCCCATAGGGGGAAGTGGGGGGAAAAATAAAAAAATAAAACAAACTCGTATAGCGTACACACATAAGGCATCTTTGTGCAAAATTTGGTGTCTCTATCTCTTATAGTCTCTGAGATCAAGGTGCTCATACGGACGGACAGGGATTGATGGAGCATTATTTAAATTCTAGTACTAGTACTGGTACTACTAGTACAGAACTGATTGATATAAATAGCCTTACTAAGTTTCTCCAGGATTAGTACGAAGGTTTTTTACTAGTAGTGCTGTACTATATACTATACTAGCATCATGAAGCAAGAGCATGATTTAAATTCTAGTACTAGATAGAGTATAAATGATTTAAAATAGTATATTTTTATTAAAGTTTTTGATATCTTTTGTCGCGTAAACGTAATTTGAACTGAATATATATACGGGTTTCACTATGTCCGTTATAAATGATTTTAAATAGTAATATCTTTTTGATATAAATAGCCTAACTTAGCGTCTCTTGAACGATTTCCAAGACTTCATTAAGTTTCTCCAGGTTTTAGTACCCAACTAGTACTACTAGTACTTAAATCAGAAATCATGAAGCAAGCGCATGATTTAAATTCTAGTACAGTACGTAAGTACCAGTACTAGTATGTCAGCCGATATTCCATTGTGTGCTTTTTCGTTATTTCTAAAATACAAACGTTTCTTGATTTCTGTGGATGTTTGTGTACGATTTCCAAGACTTCATTAATTTTCTCCAGGTACTGTCTCAATTCTTAGCCAAATATAATCCCCTATCTGATATTTGACAGATTCCCTTTTGTTATTGTTATATCACTATTATCTTCTTTACATTGCCCAACAAATTTTTGTTCTATTCGTCTCTATCTCTCTCTCTATAGTTTGGTTACTAAACCTTTTTGGACTTTTTCAACTACAAGTATTTTGTCTGAGGCTTTGAAAGCATAGCTATTGGTCCTAAACTTTAATCTATCTGTCGTTATATTTTATGAAGAAACAATAAAAAAAACTAACAATTGCAAGCTGAAATTCGTTTTAAAATGTTCTTTTTATCGTTTTACGAAATTATAGTAACTTCGAAAAAGTTCATTTTTTAAAAATACTACCATCAATGCCTATTTAATGAATGCTTTACTTTCATAATTAACAACAATAATATAAGTATGTATATAAATACATCGTATAAATTTTTGTTCGAAATTGAATTTGAAATTGAAACTTGGCTGTCCCGACTGCGTAGGTTCTATGAGGGTTGGGAATGGTGTGTGTGTGGGGAAAGGGGGGCTCGATGAGATTGACAGCGTCAGCCATGCGCCAAACCGCAGACAGCACAAGCCTTATAAACCGGGCAGAACGGATACAGATACTCTTTCATTCTCTACCCCGCTTCTCCGGCTAATTTCTGGCTGCCATTTTCGCACTTTTTTGTTTGCTTCGTTGGTCGTGTCTGCGTAAATTCTTCAATTCGGCTACAAATTTGTTGTCAAATTAGACGAAACTCAACAACGTTTCATAATTCGCCATGCTTGATTAATTTGCAAGCTGCGCAAAATATTTCACAACAACAAAAAAGAAGATCAGAAAACATGCACGCGGCTGCCTAAATGTTGTATAAATAATATTTTTTATTTATTTGTGTTTGCACACATTTTTTTTAGAGGTCACAAAATGCGTTTTCCAGTGGGTGTGCAAATTGCTGGGAGAACAGCCAGAGCTCCCATATTCCCCCACCGCTGTTGTTATTATTATTGTTGGTGTTGTTGTTGTTGCTGTTGTTTCTGTTATTGTCTTGGCACGCAATTTCTTGATGTTTTTGCACTCTTTGGGGGGCGCTACGCTTTCATGTTGAAAACATGTAAAGGGGCAATAACAACATGAATGCAAACAAGAAAATTGCGGCAATAAAAATTATTATTTATTTTCTAGATTTTCATTCATGTTTTTCCTCAAGTTTCGCGAACTATACATACAAGAGTGTAGACTCTGGCAACGTAGTAGCGTGCAAATTGTATTCACAAATGATCAGAGCGTAAAGTATATATGTATATATGTAGATATATAATATTATATATGGCCCACAACAAAAGAATTGACACTTTGTTATGACTATTCGAATTTTATGAAGTATAAAATGAGTTAATTAAGCGTTTCAAGAAGGAATAAAAATACATAAATCAAAGTCCAAATTATGACGAATGTGAGTGTTGTTGATGAAACAGGAAATTCGACATATGTAGGTATACATACAATATGAAAAATTCGCATTTCAATTATATAAATGTACATTGGAATGCACATACATTGGAATGCACGAAACAAGCAAATGAGTGAAATTGTCAGTGTTCTTTCCTTTTTTAAATTTGACTAAAGCTCTGCCATAAAATGTATTCATTGAGAATTTGTATATATATTTGAAAGCAATACATACTGATAGATAGAAATTATTCAAACTGTTTAAAAGAGGGGGTAGATTTAGTATTCTATATTGTTTAAGCAATTTTACATATGGATGAAAAATATCTATGGGGTATAAAGGATTTCTTATGTCTTTTGTAACGTATTTTGTAGTATCATTAACGAACTGCTTATGTAATAATTACAACATATTTTCCCCATTTTTTCCTACTTTTGTACTAAGATCTATCATCAGCTAGTGACGAAATGCTTAGTGAAATTGGTGATACCATTGGCACCATCAATTTTTATTTTGTAATTTTAACAAAAAATGTTGACACAAACAAATATTTGTTTATCTGCTAAAGATAGCAAGTCCTATCTGGAAAAAAAAATACTCTTTTTCTTCGAGTTTGTTGACATAGTTTTGCTTAATACCATTATATGCCTTAAGCCATGAGTATGAGTGAAGTATATTATGGCTATGCAAATCATATCGGCTATTAAACTGTTAAAAATCATATGGTAAATATTAGTTTCTTTGGCCATTTGCTTTAAATTTTTAAACAACTAGTGCCTAAATGTTACATAGAAAAAAAAACTCCATTCTTTATTGGAAATCAAATATAAAAAATATAAATTAATATAAGTTCGAAAAATTCATTTCTAAATATTTCTAAAATAATTTTGTTTTCAAAAAAAAATAAATGAATTTGTACTTTAATTTTTATTTGGAACTATAACGAACTTGCAACCTGTTGCGTCATTTAAGCAATGCTCTTCGTCACTAGCTATCTTGATCAGTATCGTATTCAAAATGTTCGAACTTTATGGTGGAGATTTATCTCTTTATTATTAGGATTTTATTATTTTCTTGCTTTCAGTTATGGTTTGTAAAATGAAATATATATACCAAGTTAAGTCAGAGTGGACAAAATAGGACAATATGGTGCAATGCGTTTCGTCACTAACTTCACTGCCTATATCCTATTAAAAATTCTCGTACTTTGTGGCAGATATTTATATCCTTATTTATGTAAATTTTGTTTATTTTTTGCTCACCCTACCATTGTTGTCAGATTCCAATCATTTTATTTTCTTTCGAAAACCCTTGCTTGGGCAACCCCCTATGAGAACGCATTTAAAAACAAATACTTAACACCCACTTAACCTTCGCCCGCCAATTATGCCATAAAAGGCGCTGTAAATTGTTATTGCAAATACATTCATATTAATGACGATTTAAAAACCGACTGAATCATACATACTACGCCCAATTCATCGGCGAAGCACTTAAAATTGTCGCCATGCTGCCTATTTTTGGGAACATTTTCATTCAAAGGAAAATCGGGGGTAATAAAAACAAAATAAGAATTGTTGCTTAAGTGAGGAAAACAAATTTGTATGACAATTTCAAATAGAATTTGCACTGTGCGTTGAATTTTTCTAAAGAAAACCAAATGAGTTGTCGTTGCCGTTTGTACGAGTATGTTTTACTCGATTCTTAAATATCGCCAAAAGGAGGCGGAGGCGGCCGCCGCATAGCTGACCATTGCAGCAACCTATTGGCGCCAAGAGCATATAAAAATTTTAATTTTTTATAGAGCGATGTCAAAAGTGTTGAAAGAGGCTCCCCTCACATACATACGTACGTTTTTGTGGAAAAAACGGAAATGCTTGTGAAAAGCAAAGAAATGAAAAACATTTCGCTAAAAAGCAACATTTTTATTGTACGGCCAGCGATTTAAGCATATAATTTATTGGCATCAATGTGGCAAATTAATTATGATCTACGCACCCTGCCCACCTCCCATCCCTCCGGAGCACACCCTCGGATTTCCAATTGCCAACCCACCCATTTCCATTTCCTTGGCTATCACGCTGTCATTGACTGCTCTATAGTTTTGACCCTCAACAAGTTCGAGTGTTGGGGCGAAAGTGCGGCGCACTTTACAACACGCTCTGGAGATGAGATGTGGATATGTGGTTGGGTCTGGGTCGTCGGTCCAGTAAAGCGACGGAATATGCATGGAGGTCAACACGATTTGACGAGATGACGAATAAATCCACACGCTGCCGCATATTTTCGCTTTGACTAACCGATTTTTTCCCTCTCTCATATCGCACACCATATTTTTTTGTTTTCCCGCTGGGTTTTCCTCAATTCGACGAATTTTAATTGTTTTTGCGGAATTTCTTTCAAATATTTAAAAACCACCACCTCCTCCTCTATAATAAAGCACACTCGACCCGATTCTCGCGGGGCACATTTCACCTGCCACGATGCTGCTCTTTGTCTCTTCCTCTCTGCTGCTATGCGCTTTGTTTACTGTTGTCGCCGTTGTCAGGCAGCATCCAATTCTCACATGAGAGATGTTTGTCTCCATACATATGGATATACTCGTATGTATGTATTTGTATATATTTGTATAATGCGGCGGCAGCAAGTGGAATGTGCGAAGCATTTTCTATTTCCATTCCATTTTCATGCGCTCGCTCTTGTTCCGGCGGCGGCGGCGGCATTTATTCAATAATTTTCCCAAGCAACGTCCGCAGTTGTGTTTGTTTAGTTGCGCTGATAAATTCATAAAAAGTTTCATTCAACAAGCTGATTCAAGATACAAATAATATACTTTAATTATACCAGAATACACGAATGACTATTGTTTGTGACTAACTCTAACGGCTGAGTGTTTAAATATTTGCGCTGCAAATGGAAGTTTGCTGCTACTGGTAACTATCTTGTGTCTGCGGAGTGTTAAGAGCTCCTTTGCATTCCAACTAACAGCTTTTTGAAGTGTGTGAGCTGTGCGTCCAAATAAGATATAATGTCACAGTGTGCTTAAGTGTGGAATGGGCTATAAATTCTATAAGTAACACTTTCAAAAGTGCTGTTTGTTAATACTCTTTTGAGTGTAAACTGTGACTGAAAATAGTGTGAAATGTGAGAGCTGTGTGAGCTGAATAAAAGCTAATGACATAGACTAAGAATTCTAAAAAGTGGAATGGTATAAGAACTCTTAAGAATACTTTGGCGTGTGTGATGGACCGAAAAGTTCCAACTTCACAAAATCGTAACCTAGAAATCAACTAAATAAAACATACCAAGTTTTATTCAAAGTGCCATATAACACATTTGGATTTCTCAAAAGTGTAATGGTTTAAGAATTCTCAAAGTAATATGTATTTTCAAAAAGGCTGTTTGTGACTAAACAGACACACTCTGGGTTGAAATGTGAGAGCTTTATAGCGAAATTAAAGATAGTGTCATTCAAATAGAATGAACTAAGAATTCTCAAAAGTGGAATGGAATAAGAGTAAATTTGTAGGTGATTCGTTAATTACGCATTCAAGTTGTCATTGCAATAGATCTAATACCGAATGGATAGATCACTTCTGACCACTTATTTTATTAAAACTCATATTCTATTAAATCGCAATTCTGAACATAATGAATCTTGGTAATAAAGTTCTCATTAATTGGAGATGTAACTTTGAAAAACTACAGCTTATACTATGCCATAAATTAGATCACGACGTCATCTAAAGGTGAACTGATTTCTGCAATTATGTAAAGCTTCCCCATAATTACAGTCGTGTTTCAAAATCAAAATATCAAAATACAATATCCGATTCGAAAGATCACAAAGAATTAAAATATAAAACTGACGATTATAAAACATGTTAAAGCGATTTCAACAGCCTGACTTTATTCTCCAATAAATTTGAATAATTTTATTTATTGTTAAAAATATAAATATCAAACATTTAAGAATGTGAATATCATGTGAATTTTTCAACACTTTTAAATCATCATAAATTTGATTCCTTTTATATAAATACTTGTATATAAAATTAATCGTAAGATAATTTTTTAACCATGTTCTACAGTTCTATCTCCTCCATAAATAGGGCTAGTTTTGCAATATAAAAAGTTAATCAAGAAGTCATACAAAAAAAAACAGATTAGCATTGTGAAGTCGTATTTCAAAGACTTCTCGACTTAAATATATGCGCTTTCCTTTCACATCCTTTCTGACAGACAGTTTCCTTTAAAAACAGAGGAGTTATACCCCATAATAGAAACAATAATTAATAAATGGGATGTTTATTTTTTCGACTGTGCATTAAATAGATTTCCCTGGACATTGAACTCTGTGCCACAACTTCTGACAACATACATCTGTTGTTCTGCACAATATTGCTGGGATCAGTTCACGGCGCAACCCCATTTTGTAGATCTCTCTGTCTTTGCTGTGGTGGCACATAAATGAATTTTAATATGCGCGGCCCAGTCATAATAATAACATAAATAATACAGACACTTTAGAGAGCAGCCCACAACTTCCGTCGCAGGTCTCCTAATTGATTTGTTTACAAAAACTTCCGGCTACCGTTTGGTAGCAGCCGTAACAAGCCATAAAAACCGAAAGATATACGCACGTATGTGCATTCCACATCAAGAGATGATGAGTGATATGCCTGAGAAGAGAATTCCCGAAGAAACATCAACACACGACAGAGTCAAAGTTCAGTTCCACTGAATATTGTTTGTCGGGATGCAAAGAGGAAAGGCGATTCATGGCGACGATGTATTTGTTTACATAGCTCTTGAGAATGGGAAGGAGAGAGAGAGAAAATTATACACCTGGTGCTGTTGTTTGTTCGGTCAGTTCTTGAGGTGCATCTTGTGGATAGTGCTCCTCTGGGTCCATCCATTCAGCTTGCAGTTGTGCGTGAGTTGCCAGAGAAGACGGATTGTGCGTTTAATGTCGGAAAATGTGCTAAATTTTATTGGATAGCCCAAGGTCAATTGCTGCATAAAAACCACATGGCCTTGCATAACTCAAAAGTGTGCCATAATAAATATTTAAGTGGATTTACTTTAATTTCCATTGCAGCATTCTTGGGCCACCCGCTTTGAAGTACGCGGCCGAAATGAAGCAGACATTGGGTCAGAATTCGCGACCCATTTACAATTATGCGATGCGTGGCGTGGTCACTTGTTTTACGGGCATACGCAAGAAAGATGAGCTGGTGAGTAGTTGCAGGCGATATTTGATGCAGTAGCGGAAATTAAATACAATAACACAATCCCTTTCCGCACAGACAAAACTGGTAAATCTCATACACTCCATGGGCGGTTGCATCAAAAAGGATTTGAATACAAAGACAACGCACTTGATTTGCAATCACAGCGGTGGCGAAAAATATCAGTAAGTAGCAAGAGCGAGCAATCTATCGAAGAAAATAAACTAAACTCGCTCGAAAAAATTCCTAATTAATAACAATACCAAGCCATATACAATTAAAGCATTATAATGACGTACTATTATTATTATTATTCTTTGTTTTACTTAGGTACGCGAAAACCTTTCGTTTGACAGTGGTGCGACCTGCCTGGGTCTATGCTGCCTGGTCAGCGCGTGACACGCCCGAATTTGAGGCCACACAGGATACCTTTACGAAGGATCACAAACTCAAGGCATTTGAGGGACAAAAGATTTGCTTTTTCGGCTTTCCCGCCGAAGAACACCAACACATGGTCGATGTGCTGTTGGAGAATGGCGGTGTTTGCGCCGAACTGGACGATCCGGAGTGCTCGCATGTCGTGAGTTTTCCCTTAGCCTTAGACATCTACTAATTAGAATTGCATGCGCTGCATTCGGTTGCGGTCTATGAGGCTTTTTAACTTGTTCCTATTGTTGTTTATAAAGTTTCTTTGGTTTGTTTTGTGTTTTCGCCTTGTGTGTAAATTTCAATTTTGTGTCTTACAGGTGATGCCCAATACGGGCGCTGTTCTTACAAGCACTAGCACAAATACTACTAACAGCACTAAGTCGAACACTACTAATCCCAATCCCAATAGCAGCCATATCCTAAGCACACCCAAAGCCAATGTCAAGGTCGATGCTGTCGAGACGCCGCCGCCGCCGCTTTCGGCGCCTCATACTCAGCCTCAACTTTTGCCCGGCCCGCTGTCGATTAAGCGAGAAGCTCAGGCGGAAGTTGATGACTACGATGATATACATTTTGACGAGCGTTTGTTTGTGGAACCTGAGGATATGAAACCTGCCTTGGATGATGAGCTTCCCGACTCGGATGAGGATGTGCTGCCAACTACCGTTGAGCAAAATGCGAGCACACCAAAGACCCCCAAAATGCCGCCGCATATCAGTATTACGGCGGCCACGCCTGCAGATTGCTCATCACCCATAGATGATGGTGTTGTTCTCACATTGAACGAGCCGAACGACTTCCAAGAACCCACCCAAAATCTGTCACCCATCTTGAAGGCGCCCAAATTGCAAATCGAAACCATAAATGAGTGCGATATGGAAACGGAAATGGAAACGGATGACTTGCCATTGGGTGAGAATGAGCTGAAGCGCAAGCGGGATAGCTATGACAATATATCACTCATGTCAGTGGACTCGTTCGCACTGCCGACCAGCACCAAGAAGCCCAAACTAATACGCACGGGTTCCATAACAAGAACCCTCAAACGCTCCATGAGTTTTGTGGCCGATCGCACTCCCATTATAAAAACATTGCGTACGCGTCGCAGTTCCGTGGCAGCGGCAGACGCGTCCGCCTATTTGGACAGCGAAGCGGGAGATGATTCCATATGTTCCCTAGCCTCTATTAATAGTACTCTGAACGAGTCTATTCGGAAACCCGTTAAGGATAAGCTGCGCACAATTTGTGGTCGCATTACTCGGAGCAGTAGTCGCAAGGCGGAACGCGAGAATGGCGCTCTTATTTTGGGTACCCCAACAACCCAAGACTGTATACTGGATAGTGGTTTTAAAACTCCAAAGGCGCCGATTCCACGATTTGGCGGCGGCAGCACTTCGACCACCTCGAAGACGGCGAAACGTCTCTTCGGGCCACTTGGCCTCGCTTCCTCCTTCACTGTAACTACCAATAATACTAACACAAATCTCGATGCTAGCAACAGCGAAGCTTCCAGTATTGCTTTCTGCGCAGCTACCGCGGCCATTCTGCCCCTAACAGCTGAGTCAACATCAACATTCACAACCGCATCCACATTTAACGAAAACTCATCAACAACCGCTGTACATAGTGCCGTGGAAATAATCCAAACCGATGGTCCCATGCAAGCAGCCAAATCGCCCAATCGAGGGGCTGGTAATGCACAGCTAAATGGCATAGAAGATCCCTCCATGGCAATGGTATTTCCCTTAAAAGCTTTACACAACCACACGCAAAAACAATATAAAACGGCACAAAAATATTCGCATAGAAGATGATTAGAAAAGGGTTCGCAGTTCAAGCTGAAGCTGAAGAAAAAGATGAGTTACAGAACAGTTAGCTTTTTTGTCAATTAAAATCAACAAGTGATCGATAAATGATGCGATCACTGATAGCTTTTTAATTATTGACTGAAGTTTAATTACTTTTATTGTCTGTTCCCATAAGTTTACAAATATTAAGAGCATCTGACAATTGGCTGTGAAAATATTAATTTTCAAACACTTTAAAATTACATCAAAGTTGTCGGTGCATTAGGAAAATGTTTCTAATCTAAATGTCTGACAAATATCCTCCTAACCAACCGCGCCAATCGAACTTTCAAGAAAAACATTTTATTTTTAAAATCAAATAATTTATTGTTTATAATTATAGAACTTTCCTAAGGGTGACCAATAATTGATTTTAATTCTGTATAATTTTGAATTATTAATAACTGTTTTTCGGAATTTATTTCCTAAATTTATTGCAATATTTTTTGCTCCTATCATATTTTTCAAAAAGAAGTAAATATTCATTTTAAATATTATTAAAATATTTTATGTTTTCATTATTTTTTTTGTTACATTTTAAAAATATTTTGTTAAGTTTTTAAAATATTTTTTTAAATATACATTTTTTAAATTTAAATTTTTTATATTTTTCACAAAAATATGTTTTAAATTTTTTTTATAAAGTTTTTGTTAATATTATTTTTTAATTATATTTTTCATAATATATTTTTAGTAGTTAATTTAAAAAAAAAATTGTAAATGAGAATTTAATTTTTGTTTTGCAGAATTATTATCTCTAATATTGAAATTTTTTATACCCTGTACCCAAAGGGTACAAGGGTATATTAGTTTTGTGCGAGTGCACATGGAACACACAGAAGGAGGCTTGGTAGACCCCACAAAGTATATATATTCTTGATCAGCATGACAAGCCGAGTCGATATAGCCATGTCCGTCTGTCCGTCTGACCGTCTGTCCGTCTGTCCGTCTGTCTGTCCGTCTGTCTGTCCGTCTGTCTGTCTGTATGAACGCAAGGATCTCCGAAAGTATAAGAGCTAGAATAACCAAACTTGGTATACAGATTCTCCTGAGACCGAGAAAGGGCGAGTTTGTTAATTTTTTCTGATCCACCCCCCCACTCCCCCCCTATTACCAATTTTCTATAACTCCCGTAATTCTTGGAATTTTGAACTAAAATTTGGTAGTCACATTAGGTTAGTAATTATATATCCGTATACCAAGGTCCATTATGATAGAATGATCGGAAAGAAAGTTATAGCCATATAACCAGGCCCAATGCACACATACATACATATGTACATTCTGATGTAAATGTATGTATATGCATGCATGGAATATTTTATATTTAATTAGTTAATATTTAGTTAATTAATTAAATTAATTTAGTTAATTAATTTAATTAAATTAATTAATTAATTTAATTTAATTAATTAATTAATTTAATTATTTTTTTGTGGGGTGGTACAGGGTATTTAAGAGTTGAGCCTGCTCGACTTTAGCATTCCTTTCTTGTTTTTCTTTACAATTTTGTTTAAATTTTTTTGCACAACTAAGAAGTAGGAATGGCCAGTCGGATGCTTAGGAACCCCATTTTTTTTAGTTATTCAATCTAATCTTATTCGATTACTTTGTTACATTATAATTTAATAATTTAATTCTTGAAATGAAACATTTTGTGCCTTTGGCTGATAAATAAAACGGCTGTTCTGGTGCTGCCAAAAATTTGTTTTGAGGGACTTTCAGCGGTCATTCTACAAGAATTCAAGTACTAATGCTAACCACTTGTATTTATTTATGTTTTTCTATGTTGTAGTTTAAGTCTGCAAAAGAACTATGGTCTCTGGTGCTTGCTCATCTCTATTGTTGTTTACTGTACATAGCACTTATAGCTCTATACTTTTAACATATTTGTGTTCCTTTCTTCCTCTCACGCAATTGCGCGCCCGCAGCACAATAAATATTGAATAAAAATTATTGTTTGTCTAACGCGCTCAGCTTCAATAATTGTTGGAAATGCCTTCGAGCTGCAAAAACTCTTGCAAAAAAAAAAAAACTTGAAAAGTATATGACACGCTTCAGTTAACGTTTTTTCTATTTTGTTAGCCATGCCTGAAAAAGCTGCTCCATAAAAACACACAAACAAAGACACACACACACACTTATACTCGCACAATCGCACAAACTAACAAATATTTGCACAAATGTTTCATTCAAGAAAAGGAATTTTTATCAACTAGAGAACACACACACACTCATATACACTTATTAACATGCACCCGCTCTACTCTACCCTCAATTTTATTTCGTTTTGCTTGCGATTTTTATGCCGTTTCAATGTTTTTCAATTCCAATACCAATACTCGAATACCCCGAAGCGAGTGTTGCCAAAAATGTGCATTAAAATGTTTTGTTTTGCCAAAATGCATTAAATTAATTTATTGTGCTGCTGCCGATTTGCGCTGAGATCTTTCACCCGATAGATGTATATATATATAATGTATATAAATATTTTTTATAGCGATAGATGCTTGACTTAATTGTAATTATTTGTATGCAGCAAACAAAACATTTTCCGAATTGCACATTTTTGTCTTTACGCGCGACTAGGCGTGCGAAATGCCCATTAATTGTACCATTTTTAATGATGTATACCCAATTCCCCATTATCATTATCGCAGGTTGTCGATGAGCACACGACGCTGACCAAGCCGGCGCCCAAGAATCATCACACACACATATTGAAATCGGATTGGTTCTGGTATACCATACAGAATGGCTATGCCAATGAAATGGATTACCTATTTGGCGATGTAAGTTGTGGCGATAAATAGCTTAAATTAGAATAATATCGGTAAATAGTGAAGATGTATCCCATAGGGTTTTGATACTATCAATTTATATTATATCTGGATCTTAAATAATGATTTATAGCTAATAGTATGAACATGAACTATTTGGTCATGTAAGTTGTTGCGATAAATAAATTAGAACATAAGAAGATCAACAAATAATAGGGTTATCCCACAAGGTATGTTTCTACATTTGCTTAGATGAACAAATTATTCAGAATTACCTAAAGCTAAAAAGTTGACAATTGAAAAAAGAAGTGAATGTGAAAGCGATCCCATACTCTTTTAAGTTTTATGTGTCCATCTAAATTATCAGAATATCCAAGTAACGATAATTTAATTGATCTTGTGATACCTTATCTTTTTTAATTCTTTTAAATATAATTTAGACTTTCACATATCTTTGTTATTTTGCAGAAAAGTGGTTTAAAGGTGATCCGATAAACTGATAAAATGTTTCCCTAGCTTAAGGTTCTGTTAGTAATCATATACCATTATCAGTTATTAGGAAAAAGTGTCAGCAATGTTTCCAAAACTGCAGCAGCTGATTAATATAATATAAAACGTTATTCAGATTTTGTTTTCAAACTTATAAGTGATCTCATTATACGTATAGGTTTCAAGAACAATTCAAGTTCAATTATATAGTTTGATTTTGTGATTCTTATTACCAATAGATGCTTTTTTAGTGGAAATTTTTTGTATTTAATTTTACAATTTTATTTATTTACGAACGAAACACTAACAAACAGAAAAAGTGACTGCCAAAACAATGACAACGAGCAGAAAAAAACCAGAAAACAATGGTTCATCGCTGAAGAATCGTCACGAAACTTCACAGGTTTACCCACGGGACTATTTTAAATATTGCCACAAAATTTGATCAAAATCAGTAGAGCGGTTTCTGAGTTTACATGGAACATACTTATCTATATATGTACATACATACTTCCATTTTTATATATATGGGTGGATAAATCGTAATTCAGATTTGTTTTTCCAACTTATGAGAGATTTCTTTATACATATACTTAGGTTCCAAGATTCATTCTAATTTATTGAACAAAATCCACATTCCCATTCCCCCTTTTTAGCCCAATCATTATTAATTTCTCTAAAATTCCACAGTACTTGGATAGCATTACGAATACGCCGAATGTGGACCGACGTGATTCGCTGCCCATAAGTTTCAATAAACGGAAGCGTAAGCGTTTATCGCAGCGTATACAGTTGGAAGGCACTCCTTTGGGTTCGGGCAAGCGGCGCTCCTCGGTATCCGATGCCGGTCTTTTGTCTGTTTCGGGCAGCTTCTTTGATTGCACGACCAGTCCGGACAAATTGGAGAGCGATAAGCTGTTGCTTGCCGAGCCGGAGATTGGTGGCGAGTCCACGCCAACCAAGAAGTCGATGCGTTTCAATCATTTCATGGATTTCTACACCACAGAGTCAAACTATGTGGGCATATTAGACACCATACTGAACGTAAGTAATAATAATAAATTTAATAAATCTTTCCCCTTTCTAACCAAAACGTTTGTAATTTTTGCAGCTTTTCAAGAACAAGTTGGAGGAATTGGCGGAAACGAATGATCCGCTGCTGAATAAATCGGAAATCAAATCAATATTTGGCAACTTTCTGCCCATACACGAGGTACATCAGAGTATGTTGGAGGATTTGCGGAAATTGCACGCGAATTGGCGCGAGGATTGTCTCATTGGTAACATCATACTGCAGCATCAGGATGAGCTCATCAAGGCCTATCCGCCCTACGTGAATTTCTATGAACAGATGAAGGAACAGTTGCAGTACTGTGATCGCGAATATCCTCGCTTCCATGCCTTCCTCAAAATAAATCAAACGAAACCGGAGTGTGGACGCCAGAGCCTGCAGGACCTGATGATACGTCCCGTACAGCGTCTGCCCAGCATTAGTCTGTTATTGAACGACATACTGAAGCATACGAATAATGCGAATGCTGATCATGCGCGCCTCGAAGAGGCACTAAAAGCCATCAAGCAGGTGACGCTGCACATTAACGAGGACAAGAGACGCACCGAATCGCGCATGGCCATATTCGATATATTCAATGATATCGAGGGTTGTCCGGCGCATCTGGTTAGCTCAAATCGCAGCTTCATCTCCAAGTGTGAGGTCAACGAGCTCTCCGACTGTGTGAGCGGTCGCGGCGACAATTTGGTACTCTATTTATTCTCCGATTCCCTGGAGGTGTGTAAGCGACGCTCGCGTGGCTTCAACGCCGCTAAATCCCCGAGCGCCGCCAAGACGCATAAACATATCAAACTGATATCTTTGAACACCATTCGCTTTGTCATTGATATTTCGGATAGTCCGCGGGCCTTTGGCTTGCTGCAGCGTGGCGAGAAGGAGAAACTCTATACGTTCGGCATCATTGATGAAGAGACGGACAAATTGGTCTATCTGAAGAAACTGTGCATGCAAATGGCGGCGCACACGTGTCGCACCGATGCGGTAAATGACTAATACTTCTTACTGTATAACATGAATATTAATTATGTCTATTGACAGGACAAAATGTTGCTAAGTCGCACCTCACAAGAACTGGAAGTGGACATTAGCGATGTAAATGTCAGTACGCTGAGTAAGGCGTTCAAATTGGCGGCCAAAACACGCTTAAAGGTAAGTTTTATTAAATAATTAAATAATTTATTATTATTAAACATAATTGGGAATATAGAGGTCTGAACTTGCGGGGTAGAGAAATTCTACAATCTGAGTTTAATTTCACAAGTATTGGGTGATCAAAGAATTTAAAAGAGTATCTGTGCAGATAACAGAGTTTAATTCTCAATTAGCGTGGGTAATATAAAAATATCCCGTCAAGCTTTTTACTTCGATCAGTCAGGACTATGTGCAATTAATATAAATGTTGATGTTGAGACAATTTCATTCAGCGATTTGGTCGGACTTGTATGTTGCTTGCAATCCTTTTGGTTGCTTAACTGTTTAGATATTTGACGCTTAAGGATCTGACGCAAATTCATTTGACGGGTAAGGTTCTGAGTTAAAGTCGATGCTATTCGATTGGGACACAGTTAACACTACACAACGGAGAAAAGTATTGGGCTTTATTTAACCATAAAGGCTCATCAAGTATGCAGAACCTTTTCATAATTTCTTTCAACTTCCAGGTTGGTCGCGCATTCTCCTTCAACAAAACGCCGAACAAGCTGAAACGCGCCGTTTCGACGATGATGACCTCGCCATTTGGCAGCACCAACTCGCTGACGCCTGCCTCGCAATTGGCGCAAATGCGTTTGGCCAGTTGCACGAATATTAATGTAAGTGAAGAGCAGTAAAATAAAATCATGAAAGAGCTATTACTAATTCATTTTACATTTCTCTGAATGCAAACAGGAAGTGGACGACGAGGACTGCGCCAGCATGAGGAGTAGTTCGCCATCGACGCAATCAGAAATGCTTGTGGTGCCGCCCCTTTCGGTGCAGCCCACGCGAAAAAACAAGGCCGTTGTGGGTCGCATTTAGTGGCAGATAGCCGTGGCATCTCTTACTGCTCTATTCCATTTTACACTGCACTGTGTGTAGGCTTTAAAGCATGCCTCAAGGTATGCAAAACACAAAAGTAGGGAAGAAATCTCGCATATACGTAACTCTCGTTTTTGTAATCCCACACAACACGTCACGCGTCCAATATTGTTAGATTTTAAACAAACAAAATTTTACTGTTTAAGTTTTGTGGCGCGCTCTCGCAAATGTTGAAGCATTTTGTCGCAGCGCGCGATTTCTTCTTTGGCGGCAACATCCTGTCTGCCTATCGATTATGTAAACTATTTATAATAATGCTGTAAATATTTTTTCTCCATACAATTTTATGTATTGTGACACTTCTTAATTCGTGTGATCAATTATTGTACGGTGTCGCGTTCAATGTAATAATTGTTCAAATGTAACTAAACTCGTAGTGACTAAAAAACCAGAACAGAAAAAGGAACGAAAGCCTAGCGTTTAGCATGCATTCACACAATAATGCACTGAGCATCGAGATCGATTGATCGATCGATTCGGTTCGGTTCAGTTTAGGTGGCTGGCCTCTATTCTCTGGCCACACTCTGCAAAGCTGTGAATGTTTACTGAGTAAATTTAAAACAAAATATAATTTTACTTGTAAGCCAAACTAAAACTCAATTGATTTTAATTTGTCCCTACTGCTTAATGCTGTAGGTACTATATGCACAAATTGTCTACTATAAGAGAGATAATAAAGTATGATTATGGCATATATATGTGTATTTTGACTTTATTGAAAAATATGTATATATGTAGCTATTGATAACTGTGGCTTGAAAATCATTGAACAAAGCATATATGACTAGATCTATGATATGGTTATATATTGCCAACAATGAATGCTTAAGTTATATAAATCGGTAAGAGCGAAACTTGTATGTCTCTACTGGTTGAAATTTAAACATCTGACGCGTATATATCTGACGCACAGATGTCTGTTGTGCATATAAATATATCATGCATTGATAACTGATATTGTATATGTATATGATGCCTTGAGATCTGGCGTGAAACAATGTGTAAGTAGTATACATGTTATACTATGTTGTATATACATATGTATAATATCTGACGCACGTCTATCTGACGTGTATACATTTGACGCAGGGATACTAGTCAAGTAGACAGGAGAGGCGCGAATATATATATTTGCCGCATTTATTATGGCAACGTACATATATTTGTGTATATATTGTATTTTTTATACCCTGTACCCAAAGGGTACAAGGGTATATTAGTTTTGTGCGAGTGCACATGGAACACACAGAAGGAGGCTTGGTAGACCCCACAAAGTATATATATTCTTGATCAGCATGACAAGCCGAGTCGATATAGCCATGTCCGTCTGTCCGTCTGTCCGTCTGTCCGTCTGTCTGTCTGTCTGTATGAACGCAAGGATCTCCGAAAGTATAAGAGCTAGAATAACCAAACTTGGTATACAGATTCTCCTGAGACCGAGAAAGGACGAGTTTGTTCATTTTTTCTGATCCACCCCTCCACTCCCCCCCTATTAACGATTTTCTATAACTCCCGTAATTCTTGGAATTTTGAACTAAAATTTGGTAGACACATCCAGTTAGTAATTGTATATCCGTATACCAAGTTTCATTATGATAGAATGATCGGAAAGAAAGTTATAGCCATATAACCAGGCCCAATGCACACATACATACATATGTACAAGTACACAAACACGCATAAGGCACGATTCTGATGTAAATGTAAATGTATCTATGCATGCATGGAATATTTAGTTAATTAATTAAATTAATTTAGTTAATTAATTAAATTAATTAATTACATTAATTAATTAAATTAAATTAAATTAATTAATTAATTTAATTAAATTAATTTAATTACTTTTTTGTGGGGTGGTACAGGGTATTTAAGAGTTGAGCCTGCTCGACTTTAGCATTCCTTTCTTGTTTATTTTTTATTTATGTATGACGAGTAGATACTTGCAGATATCTGACTCATTAGGTATCTGTCGTGTAGAAAATCTCAATTATTTTCCTTTCTTTTCACAGCCCATACTAATTGAGGCCTAATTGCTAAACTTATGAGTAACATACATTTTAAAGACTGATTTGGCGAGGATATTTTTTAATAAAACGCCTGCATACAAGTACATCGGATTGGTAACCAAAGATGTAATTACTTATGCTATAAATAAACGGCTTAGCTGCAGGTAACTTTTTACTTAATACTTATAAATAGATGATTGATGATTGTAATGAGGCATCGCAAATGGTCAATTTATAAGAAATACAAAAAGTAATTAACTTGACTATTGATTAAAGACATTAATTTCCCTTCTTCAGACGACCCCATAAAATATCACGCTGTTGTTGAATTTTGATTTCCTTTAATTTACATTAATTTGTTGTACATTTCTTGACTTATTTTATAATAAAAATTTGTTAACTTTTTTGCTTTTTCACAAGCCTTACAACGCTCTATACATACCAATACCACAGATATCATGAAAAATATCGTCGTTAATACTTTTTACTCAAACCTACTCAGCTTCTATAATCTGATCATCACCGTCCTTATATATAGTATATATATTAGAGGGTGTATACCGACTTGACGCTTGAATTAACCTTGGCCATGGCATCAGAGTGCAGTTGATATTGCAAATTATGGGATTGCAAATGCAACAGCATTTTAAGTTTATGGCCAATTTCTAAAATTTCATTTTCATTGCTGCCGTCGGCTGTCCAAACGGCTGTCGATTATGTGAGAGAAATTGTTAAAAATAGGAGTATAAAAGAGTATTGAGAATTAACTTACAAATCTTGTTACTTTTAGCGCGTATGTTGACCACAGCGCCGCATATTCCGGAGGCATGTTCAAAAGTTTCGCCAACCATCATCAGCAAAATGTCCAACCAGAGGCGATCCAACACTACTTTGGAGTTCTTGACAGTTATGAGCCAACGACCGCCCTTGATGTTGGCATCATCCTCCCACATGGGCCTAAAATAAATGCTCGAAAAATTAAACAGCTCCCTATTGTTAATCGCACTTACTTAATGCCTTGTTTGAACATGGAATAATCACAACCTATCTTGAGTTCCGACGGGGTCTTGATCGTATAGTACAAGCTATAAATATCGTGTTACCTCTAAACAACCTTTAAAAATATTTTAATAACTTGCCTCCAAAATGTTTCCACACTATCGATTTGAGTTATCTCATTCAACATATCCTTCCAATGCTTAGTGCGATCATTTTCCAGATACCATAGCGTCCAGACATGCTCTAACGGATGCTTGTACTCTATATCGTAGATAGACTCGGTTTTGTTGAGTATATTTTCGTTATTCTGTGGCTCCTCAAGGGAAGTAGCAGAACCATTCAGATGCAGTTCCATGAACTTCTCCGAATTAAAAGACCTCGGCTCGAATGCCTGCGCCGCCATATTCATGATTGCTTCGCAAACTCTCAGTTAGATTCTCGGAAGTATATATATTTTTGTGTGGAGTTAGTCAAAACTTTTGTTACCTCCACTTATTAAATGTATTCGGTATGTAGATGCGTTCTTGTGCGTGGCCTAGTTATGTTGACCGAAACGTTTTTAGAACATTTTTTAGAAAACGAAACGTGTTGAATCGAAAAAGTCTAACAAACATATGGGAAGCAGTTGTTTTATGTTTCAAAATTTTCGATTTTCAATTACCCACAGACGTTTGAGGCAATGCTTGTTGGGACTTCGGCATAATTATATATTTATTCGGAATACCTATGAGTTTCATTTCAAAATATTTTGTTTGAATTCAAAGAAATTATGCAAAGTCTAAGAAAATTTTGTTCAATTCCGCCAAACTATTGACTCCTTCAGTTTTAAAGAAACTTTAGGGCTTTTTTGTCACCCGAATGACATAAGTAGATTCTGAATAAAATGATAATTGGAATTCGGAACAGGCGTTGATAAACGTTTTAAACACGAAATGCCGCAAGATTTTTGTCGCGGGTTACATAAAAGCTTCCAGAAAATGATTGCTTTATGTATTTGAATTGATTTGAATTTAATATGCGGAATTGAAATGCTTAATGATGGTGGAATAAGGACAACTTTGCCTTTTATCATTCTATTATTCTATCCCGGTTATAACTACATACTTATAGGCCCGCTACTTTGTCAAATCAATGTTCAAAAGTCATTTGTTCTAGTGTTGTTAAACGAAAATATGCATAATATTTATTTTCATTTCTGCAAATTAAAAATACTTTAGAACTTAACTATTTCCTTTTTACATTCGAAACATTTAACGTATACATATTTAATTTTTAAAATTTAATTTTAAAAGTAAATGCATGTGCGTATAACTTAAAAACGGAATCGAATACATTAAACAAAATTTACCATTAAACGTAAGGAACGATCTAAAAAACTAAACGAGAGGCACTAACGAAACTGTACGAAAAGAAAAACTTAAAACAAAGCACTGGAAATTCTGAGAGCTTCATGTGTATGAGCCAGATCGCTTCCTCCTTAGCTCCTTAGACCCACAACACAGCTGCCGCGTCCTCATTGGATAGGGTGGAGAAGCGCTGATAACGATTGGCATTTCGATAAGTCTTCGACGGCGATTGCGAAGATGTGAGCGAGATAGATGGATTGCTGGCCGTACTGGCGGTGGGATTGTGATGGGGCAGGCCCACAACATTGTTCGGATGCGCTGCAGCGAGAGAGGGCTTGAGCGTACAGTTCCGACTCTCCGTGGAGAGCGACAGGCGGCGGTTGTTATTGTTGTTGTTGTTGCTGCTGATGAGTGTAGAGCTCAAGGGCAGTCCAATGTCATGAAAAGAGCTGATCGAGCTGAATCCGCTCTCATCTTCCGTGCTTGAGCCATGAGCATTGGTAGGACTGCCAGACACCGTACTCGCTTGCTTGGCGTCCCCTCCATCGCCCACTCCCACACCCCTTGGTGTCTCCTCGTCCGTTTCGATTTTGGACGAGGACGATGCTGTCGACGATATGGTGGAATGCACGCTGCTGTCGGTGGAACTGCGCAACGATAGGCGTGAGTCACGCATGTTGTTGGCCCGCAGAAAGAGCATCTCGGCATTCGCACTACTACTCTTGGCCATGGGTCCCACTTGCATGCCTGGAAATTGATCTCCAGCCATCGCTTGTATGCCGGTGGAATTATGCAATGGTGGCGCCAACAGCGTCAGCACGGAACTGGTATTGGCTTTGCACAAACGACCAACACCTCCCATGGCCAGCGAGGAGAGCGACGAGAGCGAGTGACGGGGCTGCGTGAGATCCGGCTGTTGTTGTGAGGTGTGCAGCAAATTTCGAATGGTACGCGCCAAGCGGAAGGCCTCCTGATTCAGCTTCTCATCGGCATCATCGAGAGCGGAAATGCGCGTCTTCGCACCACCATTCTTCTTAGGAGAACGGCGCCTGAAATGAAAATATGCCTATATGTATTAAAACCATTCATAGCATGGATCGAATTATTTTTTAATAATAATGAGTGGACTTGTGAATAAGCCCCTAAATTTAGACCGTTTTGGAGCGAAATTGCCAAAGAGTTAGGTTAGGTTCAAGTGTTCTTTTTGAGGAGATAAGTCAAACGAGCTAAAAAGTTTTCTTCTGTGCATCAAAACAAAACTGTGGATTAAATATCTTACTTTTTGCGTACTATTATATCATTTATCAGAACGATTTTTTATTGATTCAAATTAATTCCTGGAGTTTCGAACTAGTTGCTTGCGTATTACATAAATATGCTAATATACTAGTGTTTTCAGCTACTATTAAAAGAATAACTAGCTTCGTGATTAATTGGGCCAATTAGAATCAAGATCAAAAACCAGCTGGGTATTTTGGCTAATTACTTAAAATGTGTTTATCTTTAAGCAGTTAAGCAAGATTAATTGATCAATTGGGCCAATTAGAATAAAGATTAAAAACCAACTCTGTGTTTTGGCTAATTACTAAAAATGTATTCATCTTTAAGCAGTTAAGCAAGATTATTACTATTTAACCGGCCAAGAAATTTGTGGTTGTATATTAAACAAAAGTTTTCAACAATAAGACAATAATTTTGAGGTTACATATAGATAAACATTCATCTTTAATAATAATTAGGTCTAATGTCGTTGCTGCATATTAATAAGGTTGTTATCTTTAACCTATTAAGCAGCCTTTCATTAGCACTCTATATATTAGAGTAATTATCTAACAGACCAGGCCTTCTGTGAATGAATATAAAAGAAAAGATTTTGACGATGGCTTCTTATTCAAAAAAGTTTTAATTTTTAAGAACATAATAATATATATATATATAAATGATTTAATAGTCTTAGCAAATGGTTAAACCTACCAGGTAAAATCTTTGAAAGCATTGTAGGAGTTCGCTGGAGCTAAGCTCTCGTAGTTCTGTTCCTCGTTCATGGTCAGCAATGATTTGTTCAGCATTAGGTTGGTGCTGCTGCGTGCCCGCAAATACGAGGTGGAGGAGGTGCAGCTACCTAGGGGTGCCCCATCGTCGAGTCCACCATTGGGATCGGTCTGCACCACTCCCATGCCCAGGCCATGCACATGATGTAAGCTTTTGGAGCGAGCTATTTGCTCGGAACCACCGCCTAGACTGTGGCGATTGCTTTGCTTTTGCTGCTGCAGATGTTGTTGTTGTTGTTGCTGACGTATCTGCAGTTGTTGTTGCTGCTGCTGGTAGCGTTCGAAGAAGCGCGCCACTTCCTCCATAACAGCGCGATACATTTCACAATTGGTCTCCGTCTGAAATGGATGGAAAACAATTACAGCTTGGTTTAAAGTGCAAACCACAAACAATTGGATATTGAGAAGCGTTGTGTCATAGTTGCGGTCGAGATATAGCATTACATTATCTGTCTCTCTCTTCCTCGCTATCTATCTGTTTCTGATATCCCAGTGGAGGGGTGTGCCGATTGCCCTAAGGTATTTGTTTGTAAAGCTATCAGTTTACGATAAATTGAAATAATTAAAAGTTGCCTAATGCGACCAGACTGCAGTGATATGTTAAATAGAACACTATTGTTGTGGAAATTGAAAATGTCCTTAAATCAATTCTGAGAACATTTTTATGCAGAGAGTAGCCTTCATTCAGAAAAGAAAACACCTGTTTAATACACACAAAAGTTAATTTTAAAAAATAGTTTGTCCTGACTGGCTGGCTGATTTGTAAGCAACGGTTATAGCTAGACACAAGTTTCGTTTTGTGGTAAACAAAAAAAAAAATGTAACTCCATAAACAGAGAAAACAGTTGCAAAGATTTGATTTATAGATAATATATTTGTCATTCGTTCAATATTTGTCAATAATCTGCCATCAAATTCATGAAGCAGAATACTTCCCAAAAGCGTACAAATTTTTGGCACGTTTTAGCTTCACAATTCGAAAAAATTATGAAAAATTCAATTCAATTTTCAAATCCAATAAACGATAGTTATTCGAATTGGAAAATATTAATGACTTTTGGGAATTGTGTATATTGGTCGCCAATCACTCGAAAAGGAACAGTACAATTTTTTTAAATGCCTGTCAATTTAGTTAGCATCTTGATAGGTGCATACTCTTATAATCTACGAGTTATTGGAATGGAATTTGAATGATAGTCGTAGACCAAAAGCGAAAACATTTTTTAAAATACTTCAAATACTTTTGTATACTTTGGAAATGTCTTGGTACTCAAATCTTAATTAGATCAAAATCATTAAAATTCATCATATTGCTGTCATAGAAATTATGTTTTCTTTAGTTGAATGGCTGAAGTGGGGGAAATAGTGGGACTTTAACCTTCTCCCTGCTGTTTTTGTTAAGACCATTCGGTATCTTTTTCGATCTTATCGCACTACATACATACATAGCTAGATGGGAGGGGAGATCTTCGACAACCCTATTTGGTTGTATACTTAACATTTCTCTTGTCCCGCTTCCTAACTTACTTGTATATTTAGTTTGAAAACCAATTCTACGTCGAATGATCAAAAATGAATCGAGCTTGGAAAATCTTCTCCCAGTGCAGATGGCTTGTGATTCGTATAATCTTTTGATTTGTTTACAATATATTCAGTTAGCTGTTATGCATGGGGGTTTTAAAGTTTTTACTTTTCACTTTTACTTGCGACATCGCTTATCAGTTTATCAAGTCTTTGTTATTCTTGACTGGCAGCTTTCTTTCTTTGTTTATGTCGCGCCAAGGTCGTTGGACCACAAACAATCAAAGACAGCAACAACAAATTATGTTAATTAAATATAAAACATTATACATTGTTATACAAAGAAACCACAACGACAGCGGGGTGAGCAAAGAAAATCAAAGCCCATGCGTTTGTGAGTTTGTGGTGCAGCCAGAAACTTTCACTTAATGATGAGTGTCTCGTGTCCAGCAAAACAGAATCTTGTTTTAACGGTTTCTAGAAGTTATCTGTAAACCAGAAATAAATACAAGTATAATCTTGCCCAAGTCTTTCCAGTCTAATTAGAGGCAGCAATAGGCGTGTTGCCAATTTGGCAGCCATCATCTGCCAGCCGCCAAGTGTTAAGATGGGCGCACCTACCAACAACAACAGCAACAACAAGACTGGCAGCAACAATAACACCAACAGCAGCTTTTTTGGACAATTGGCCAAAAAGTTCACACGACTTGGCATGCAATTTACTTGGCCCATAGCTCTTGCTCTAACCGTAGCTCTTGCCTCTCTGGAGTATTTGCTTTTTTGGCCGCAACAACTATTTTTAATGCATGCTTTTGTTGATTATGCAAGCATCGCTGTTGCAGCTTTAAATTGTTGCTAATTTTTCACTGCTCGTTTTTCCGTTTTAAAGCAGCAGCAGCAGCTGCCGTTTTTCCTATTTGGCTCTTTTTCGGCAGCCAAATGAGCGTGTTTGGCGGCAAAAGTTGGCGGATTATGTGTGTGTTGTGATTTATTTGAGTTGTTCGCTGAAAAAATGTGGAAATGTAAAGCAATGTCTGGCCTGTACGAGTAGTTGCTGTCATTATTGTTGTTGTTGTTGTCCATTTGCATTTCATTTGCCGCAAATATTGGTTATGGTTTGTTTAATTCATTAATGGCATGCCAGGGAATTAGCAAAGGGGAGTATTTTTTTCATCAGTCAACCCACATACGACCTCTTTGGGAGTGGATTTTAATAAAGTTGTGCATAAATGAATCAACAAGCGTGCAAAAAGTGTCTATTTGATTGCGAATATATTTAAAGCAGGCACTCAATTTATATAAATGAATTATTATGTTTTTAAAAATTACTTTCAATTTAGTTTAGATTCTTAAATAAATCAGGAACTCTTCAACAATGATAGAAATTTTTATTCATTGCCTACTTATTAAAACAAAATGTATATCCATTGATTGAATTTTGATTTGTTTCATTTGCTTTATAATTTATAAAAATTATTCACTTGAGTTCTACTTGTATTTGATTGTGAATATATTTGAAATGAGCATTCAATTATTAAATCAGTAACTCGTCATTAAATAAATTTAAATAAAATGTATATAAATGAATTGGATTTTGAAAGAGCCTTTGAATAATTATTCTAGATTCATAAATAAATAAATTATTCACTGGAGTTACAAACAAGTTATTGTTTGGAACTCATAAATGTAAGATTTTCTCAAAAATAAAGAAGTTTTGCTACTAGAGTAATTCTTGCACCTATGGCAGTTAGGTAAAATAATGACGCTATATACGATTTTTGATAAAATGGTAAAATAAAATAAATTGAAATAAAATGTATATAAATGAATTGGATTTTGAAAGAGCCTTTGAATAATTATTCTAGATTCATAATTAAATAAATTATTCACTGGAGTTACAAACAAGTTATTGTTTGGAACTCATAAATGCTAGATTTTCTCAAGATATCCTCATAAATAAAAAATTGTTTCTACTAGAATAATTCTTGCACTAATGCAATAATGAGGATAGATAAGATTTTTGATAAATTGGTTAACAAGTTATGGATGGTTTATATGGGCGAACGGACAGGCGGACATGTCTTTATCGATTCGTCCCGTTCTGCCTGTTAAATACATTTAGAGATTCGACTCTTTAGTATACCCTTCTGGTAAAGAATTCAAACATTTATGAGCTCTTGGTGAAAAAAAATAGAAAATACGACTTCATTTTGAAACCGAATTAATTTAAATATTTAAACTGAAAAGTTAAGTGAGAAAGACGAAGTCAAATAAATTCGATAATTTTTTGTACCTTAGAAATGCATTCTATTTCTTGAAAACTGTTTATTTTTCCACTAAGGACTTTAAACTTCTTTTGAACGAAATTATAGTTGTATATTTAAATAGGAGTTTTAAGTGCGCCATTCATCACTTCAGACTATTTGCGTTGCTGACCCAAATCTTTGATTAGTCAGTCAAGGCTTTCGAATCAATTTAGTGTCGTTTCCTACTCAGAAGATTTGACACCTTGGAAGCGAAGGCAAAGAAAGCCAAGCCGGCCGCAACCATTAAAAGCCCATAAAAAGATATATATATATATAAGAAAACATCCAGACGGTAGTAGAAGAAGGAAACATAAAGAAGAAAATGGCAAGTGAGCAGCCCACTGCGCTTAAATTAAGTTTTTCACCGCAAGCGCTCACTCACTCACTCAGTCATTCATTCAGTGAGTCGCCCAATCAATCGATGCAATCAATCAGGCTGCTGCCCACGCTGGTCTGCGGCTAAGAGTGGCCGGCGGCCAGATTTGTTTTTGTAATTTATTTGCACAGATTTTGCCAGCCGGTAGCTGCACTTTTTTTTACTAGACCGCCTCACACAAAAGTAACCTAGTTTTTCAGTTTTTTTCTCCCCATTTTCTTTTACATTCGCACTAAAGTTTTTCGCGCACATTCCAAGCAAACATAAAGACCGCTGGATGGACGGCCGATAGGCGTCAGCGATGGTGAAGGAAAATAAAAAAGTTATCACTGATTATTTTGCAATTTTCTGCAGTGCTCTGCCGGCTCCGGCTTCTCAGTCATTGGCGCTTTCCAAGCCAACAACTCTTAATGCGCTTTAAATTGAAATGAAAGCGTAAATATTTCCCTGGTCGTGTTGTTATTGCTGTTGTAGTCGACTAAGTATATAAGTAGATTCTAGAGCCGCACTGATTGAAAGTGTTGTGCGTAGTGCGAGCACATTTCTTGGCCAAATAAGAAAGTTGAAGGTCAGCGCAGAAGTTCAGAGTGTGCCAGCCAGGAAAATTAAAAAGAAAAATAACATGGGGAACAAATTAAACAAGAAAAAGAAAAGCAAATTGAGAGCAATGCAAGCTGAGCTACTAATTGGGTTTGTTCTGCTGTGCCAGCCCGAATGCATGACAGAGTTTGAAAGCAGCATTCACAATTGTATTGAGGGAGCCAGCGACAGCGGAAAGTATGGCTTTAAGACCATTTCCAACTAGGTGTTGGCAGTTGATGAAAATATACTACTACAAGTATAATGAAATTGTTTTAGCTCGATTGAATGTAATTATTCAATGACAGAAATGATTTAAAATCATTTCAAAAATTTCAATTCCAATTTATTGACACATAATCATTAGTTTTGTTCCTTCAAATTTGAAAAGTGCATATGAATTTGGTTTTAGTTTATTGAAAGAATGTAATGTCAAGGAAAGAAGTGATTTCAATTCATTTAAAACATATAAATTACAATTTGTTATTTACTTCTATCATATTTCGATTTCTACTTACTCTTCGCATATGATATGCCTCAATTATTCGACACACTTAGTTTATTATGGTAAGTCCATTATCATCACACTTTTCGAATCAATAAATAATAATCAATAGTAAATAAGTCAATAAATGAATACTCCACTATGTATCTTTCCTTTACCAAGAGAGAATCGAGATGACTGTATGGTTTCGTTCATTACTACTTATAAGAAACTTAAATAAATACACTTGCTATTATTTGGAGAAATAATCGAAATAATTTTTTGCGACCATATTTCTTTTATGCCAACATTTGAGAATCGAAATGTCTGACATTCCTTAACTAACTTTTGTGGAACTTAAATGAATGTACTCACTATGATTCATTTATGTTAACAGTTCAGAATATTTGTCGTATTTTTCAAGTTTGCTATGAAAAGTCTCAAAATAACTTGTAAATAACAGAAAATTACTCTTGAGAATAGAATTCTTATTAGACTTGATTGAAGTCACATAATTTCCCTGTCATACTAGGAGTTGTAATATTTATCAAATTTAGCTACAATTTATTTGTTTGTCTGACCGTAATTGAGAATATTTTTGGAAATCTTAGTTGGTGGTTAGCAACCCATACTAGACTGGTAGAATATTATAATACAGACGCTCACAGACGGAATGAGGAATGGCTACGGACAGATATGCAAATAATTTGCACTGAGTGAGTTTTTAAAAGCAAGCATTGAAAAGTGAATTCTAATAAATTTTTTGTTGTTAAAACTGTATTTTAGTGGAGAATTCTTCCAAGCTTTGATTGAATTAACATAGTAATAACCATCATTATTGTTACATCACCAGAACAATTAAGTTTCTTTGTATGTATATAAGGAATATAATGAATAAATTTAATTAACATATATTATTATTAAATAAGAATTCTTCCCATCTTCTGAGCATCCTTAGGAATCGAGGAAATCTTGAATCGATAAACAATTCAACCTCGCCATTCTACCATCTACCCACACAGCTTTCAAGGCTTTCATGTTTCTAGACATTATCATCACATTTGTATCTGCGTTGGCTAATCTACGACGGCATATCCGTCAATAATTTGAAGACAAGACAATGAATAGCCCCTTTTGTGTATTGAAAGGAAGTATAAAATTAACGCAGCTGCTCCAAAGCAAAAGTTCAATGCAATAGCGGAAATGACCATAGCACCTAAAAGACAAAAGAGACGACGACGATGGCCAGAACAGAGAACAGAGAGCAGAATAGAAGAGTCAGAGCCACGCCAGACCACCGGCCTATAATTAAGCGTTAAAAAGAATGTGCCGCCTAATTGTCGACAACACTCCATGGCTGGCGCAATAGCGCCCTAATCCCAAACTCGTCTCTATAACTGGAAAATAAGAAATAACGAAAACAAATCAAGGAAGTGCCACATACCCGAAGATAGATAAAAAAGAATGAGTGGTCGGTTGAGCGCATAAAATACAACAAACACACAGATCCGATCCGAAAGAGCCACTTAACGCGGCTGACGCTATAAAGTCGGGATAGCGAGACTAGAACAGCAGACGACAATCCGGACTTCTAATACAAACACACGATGTACATACATACCTACAAAGCAATGACGAGGTCGTCTCTGGCATTGGATTATAATTATGTCTAAATTAGGCGTGAGAACCAGCAGAGCAGCGAGTGGTTACGAAGAATGGAGCTCGAGCGTCATATGAGAGTGTGTTTGGATGTGTCTTTGGCATAAAGTCAAGGGAAAAGCTTAAAGTTGAAGGTATTTAGAACGGGGTCTCACAAACAAGTGGAGCAAGCTTACTAGATACACCGACGAACAGCTGGATATGTACATACAGCTATAAACTCTTATTTGTTTTGAAATATTTATTTATGTTCCCTTGTTAGGGTTATTTTATTTTTAGTTGAAGGAACAACTTTACTCGCAGAAGTGAAAAGTTTTATTTCAACAAATATAGGCAATTTTGGTTCCACAAACTAAGCAACAATTTTTTTTTATTCTATAAAAAAGTTTTACACGTTTTGGACTTAAACTTAAAGTGTTTCAGAGTTCTATCACAATATGTGGCAACTTAACAATATTTATTTAAATTTATAATATAATATTTCTTTAGCGCTATAGTTTAAACTCTTCAGAGGGACATATTAATTGCATATATATTTGAATTCAAAAATCTTTATATAAAACTATAAATCTATGTTATGAAACGATTATTTCCATTTTTTCTTGCATCCTTTGATTTTCATCTTCTGTGGGTTTTTAAAAGAAATTAATATTTATTTGAAAATATTTTAAAATGTACATTTCCTAATTGATCTAAAAACTTCTCAATTTAAAATAAATATGCGTCAAAAAATTTGTTAACGATTAAATTCTTATAAAACATTTGATTATAAGTATAAGCATTTTAAGCTAAAACTCACTTTTCATTTAGAATTCTTAAATTTCAATCAAAACACAAATGTTCAAATTTCATTGTATCGTTGTTTAAGATCGATCGCTAACTATTATTTAGTTTCATGAGAGCCTCCACACTAACAAAAATATACTTTATTTAGAGAATTTTGAAAACGTATGCTTCTCCTTTGGCCTGGGCTATTATAAAGCTTTCATAATTCAATCAGAACAGATCTTGTAATATCACTACTGATATTGAATTTTTTGCATTATTCTATTTATAAATATAGGTATTTTAAAAAGTAGCCATAATAATGTTTAGCTATTACTTAAGACACATCATGAAAAATTCAACGTTTTCAAACATTTGTATTTAAATTTTTGTTTTTGTTTTTGTATTCAGTTTTTTTCTGAGCGAGGACATCGAAACGGACGTTGACGAATCTCTTCTGGGAATTATTAATTTATAGCTAATAAAGAAACTGATTACTTTTAGTTAAGGTACGATTCATATTACTCCTGAATTTAGAATTTATGAATCGCGTCTTTTGTCCTAAAATCGTTCAAAATCTAATTCGAAATAGGTAATTGGCTCCGAACAGAAACCAATTTGTAATATTAATGATCGTTCCCATTTAACCGATCGTTGGTGTTCGGTAGCCCCAGCTGTCTGAGGGGGCGGTTGCTGCGGCCAATGGGCCACTTAGCACTTGAACCACACACACGGGCGAGCTGTAAGTGCGATTTTGTCTGCACAATTAAGTCACGTCTCTCCATTAAACAATAGCAAAAACAAATCATCGTGGCTTGTGAGACACTTCGACAAGTTTGTGTCTTAAGTCTTTTGTTTAGTGGTTCGTTCAACGATTGTACGTCGGCCACAGAATTCGCAACTCACCTGTTTCAATTGCCACTGCAGTGTATCCACCTGATTCTGTAATATGACAGCCTCGACATTTAACGTTTGCTCATGTGTTGCTGGCGGTGGCTGTTGTGGCAAGTCGTAGCCGCCGATGTTGTTGTTGTTGTTGCTGTTGCCACGGGGTGCGGCGCCTCCGTTGACGTTGGCATCCTGAAAATGTTGTTAACAGTTGTTTAATTGCATGAAATTGATAAATGCGCGTAAAATTAGTTACAGAGTAGCTGAAAAAGATTACTGCAAAATTCCAAACACATTTCAAAAATGTTGTCAAGCGTCGCCTTTTAAAAAAAATATCCACACAACCAAGCAACAAACAGCGGCCACAATTTTGCACATTAACACCACAAAGCCTAAGTGTGTGGCTGCTTGGGTGGCTCGCTTGTAGGCTTTCCTTTCGGTTTTTCAAAACGAGCGCACAAATCCCAAATATTTATGTGCACAAGAGTGCGAGTATCTGTGTGTGTGTGTGTGTGTGTGTTTACACACATAAATATACAAAAATGTGGCAGCTGATGGCCGCAACCAAAAGCGGAAAACTCAGGCGAAAAATGAAATAAAAACAACACTCAAATCCATGTACAATTAATTAGAGAAATTATTTTGCAAGTTGTGTTGGCCATTGGCCGTTGCGGCGAGGTCGGATCGATAGGTTATGCAAATAACAATTTCTTTGGGTACATTTTTATTTATATTTTACAACAATGTTTATGACTACGAATACTATTCTCAGCTTATCAGGCGCAAAATTGGCTGCGATGATTCCGTTCCGGCAATGTCCACGTGAAAGTTGCATTTCCCGCATATCGTTGAAAGTGCAATGAATTTCGTGGAAATGATTGCAACTGACCGGAATGTCAGCAGCCGAAGAGCTTAAAATATGCAACAAAACACTTCTAAATTACTTACTAAAAGTTGAATTTAAAAAGAAGTTCACTATTTGCAAAATATTGGTACCTTACGAATTATCGCAAAGAAACATAAGGGTTTGGAAAAATCTAAATCCAAAATGGTGCAGGAAAGTGTAGGTGGAGCTGGAAGGGAATCATCTGCCATGAGCTGCTCCCATTTGGCCAAACGCTGAGGACCTCTACTATCGACAATACTAAAAGACCGTTTTAAGCTAGCGATTGCCAAGAAGTCATAGGAATTGGACAATGGAAAAGGTTTTTTTTTTTTACGATGACAAATGGCTGGAAACTTAGGGAACTTGGTTGAGCGGTTTTAATGCCATCCATCATACAGTCCAGATCTGTCTTCAACTGGTTAACAACTTTTTTTTAACATTACAAAACTTTCTGGGTGACAAAATTTGCATGGGAAAAAGGGTTGGCCGACTTTTGTTTTAGCAGCAATACTCAGAGCATTTATAAGAGAGCAAAAATAATTATTTTAAAGCTTTTAACTTAAATGAATCTAGTATTTTTTTTATGAATGACTTTTTATGGCCCCATTCTTTTCATTTATTTATTTATTTATTTATTCATTCCATTACGTATCTTCGGTAGCAGAGTTGGATGGACGATTCGCATGAGGCAAGTTTTCACTGAATGGTTCATGTATTCTCGATAGAGTAGACTCCTCACATTCCAAGCAGAACAAAATTGGAAGCACAACATTTTAGGCAAAAGAGAAAATTTTTCCACTGTAAACAAATAGCTCGAACTTCATACAAATGTGAAGGAGGGTGTTACCAATCTAGGAAATGGATAAGTCGGGCGAACTTCGATCAGACGGTAGACTAATAAATACTATATTGTTTAAATATAGGGACAAAAGTTTGTGGGGCATTAAATTTCATATAGATAAGCAACGAAATGATATATAACTAAATATTTGTATGCTGATTATACATTTTTAAAGTTTAACGATAGCTGCCTTTCTTCAAGCAAAATAAAGTAGCTGAAGGTTATTTCACCGACCATAAAGGTCATGACAACATTTTCTTAATCAGTTTTAAGATTTATAGCCTTGAAAGGGAGGAATATTGTTGGATCGTTTTTCAAGTCGTTGTCATTAAATTGAAACTAGAAAATCGTAAATACATAGATGGTAGAAATTTCAAGAAGACACACAGTTTCTTGCCGGAAAACACGTTTGAGTAGAGTTTAAAAATATTTGCCTGCTAATTATGTAATAGACAGTTTGTTGAGCTGATTTCAAACAATTTGCTGATCCACCCTCATATAAGCTGTTGTTGTTATTACTTTTTGGTCATTTGTGGCTTTTCTTTATTAATTTCGATTATTTATTCGCATTTTTCATTGCATTTTTCTTTTCATTCACAGCAACACACACACACACACACAACCACACGTACTATTACAAAAATGTTTGCAATAAATTTCTGGTATGCTTCAAATTTTTTTCATACATTTATTGAAGCGTAATGGGAGGGGTTATGGAAGAGGTGGGGAGAGGGGGAGGGCTTGCAGAACCCGTTTAAAAGTTATGCGCCATGTTTTCATATAACTCCGTATATAACATTTTTCGCTGCTGTTTATAGTATTTGTGGTATACTTTTTCTTTTATAGTGCGTCATTTTTTCAAAGACTTTGACCCACAAGCAAAAAACGTTCAACCATTTAAAAAAACATTAGAAACTAGTTGTGAGCTTCACAGTTTTATTTTATTTAATTTTGTTTTTTTTTTTTAGTTTCTGTGGCAGCGACTTGACCTCCATTTTGACTTATGATGTAATGCAGGCTAAGTATAGTTGGCCTATTGTTTCGGCCACTTTCTTTCTTTGCACGCCCACCCACATACAGCAGCGTGGATTGCAGAGTTAGAGACCAATTTACAAATTGGTGGGGCGGTTGAAAAACTTTAAATCAAATGTTGTCCGCAATTGTGTGTCTGATTGTTTGTTTGCACAACAATTATTGCAAATGCATTGCATTGTTCGAGTAAATTTCAATAATTTAAACATACCCTCTACTTTAATTAAAGGGGGAAATTTGTTTTTTCGGAATGGGTGGATACTGCTCTGGACATGCCCTGCTCTACTTGACTATATCAAGTAGTCTGGATCTATATCCAGACTACCCTCAATTTTAAAGAAGAATAAAGATAAAAGAAGATGAAAAATATTTTGTAAGTTTTATAAGCATGTACTCTTTTGGTTTCGATGTGTTAGCGCCATGTGAGTCTTCTGTCCTCTGTGATAAAAGGTCAAAATTTGGTTCCCATCTGTTCTGTGTTTTAAAACAGCGGCATTATCTTGAAAAAAAAAAGAATCGTGATTTGAACTTCTTGTTACCAATGAGTTATTGCTGTTTCCGAATTCGATTAAATGATGCCGAATCAAAATCGAAAGTGGCTTCAAAAGATAGGGTTTCAAAAATGGTGTACAGACTTTTTCAAACTTTAACTGCTTTGGCCATTGAGATCCTTTGAATGTTTTTATTGTTATTGTTTCTTAAGCTTTGTTAGCTTGAAAGTCTTTATTTTAAATGTGTACATAAATTGAAATTTAATTTTTTTTCTGTTAGTTTTAAAAGGATTTTCAATCTTCTTCCGTATTTGTAATTTAAATGATCTATTAGATCGAGATGTCTGAACACATCCTATGCCAGTAATTTACAAGTTCTGATTAGTCGGGCGAAAAATCTGCGACTCGTACTGCTTCGACAACATCACGAAAAGTCGAAACGGCGGGCTTTCTTTCCATAACATAAAGGCTGATTCAGATATACCAAAAATTCAAAAGAGAAAAGTGGAAATTCCATTTGAGGATGAAGAAAATCTCAAAGGAGAAGGAAAACAAGCAGACAGTTGGATTGGCAATTGTTGATCACTTAATTAGAAAATCATCTTAACATTTAAATGAGGGAGTCTCTAAAATTAGTGTCTAAATTACAGGCTTACTATACTTCACTCCATTTTGAAATTCTTCTAGCATCACATATTCTTGCTATATATTCTTTATATATACAGAGACGAGCCAACAGGTGATTCTGCAGATGCGGAATCAGTCTAATCAAGAGCATTACAAAAAGGATATAAATAACTATGTAGGGTATTTAGTTTGTTAAAGCTCAACTGCTTGGCATTTTAACTATTTTTGTTTTTGAAAATGTATTTTGAAAGTCTGCGTGGGTTGGCTGTCATGTTACCGCTATGGTTGTGTGGTTGTTGTTTTTTGTTGTTAATGCTTGGTCAGTGTTGTTGGTATTGTTGTTTTGATGTGGCTGCCACAAACAAATTACCATTTGTGGTCTATGCAATTGTGGCTAAATTGTGGACTCTGGTAGTTGCAGTCTACAGATTTGGCAAACAAACTCAATTTGGCGTAATTTGACGCTTGTTAATTAAGGTATGGATGTGTGCGAGTATCTATTTATCTATGGTTTGTCTGGCATTTATGAGCGGTCGCCTAATGGCCAACTCTGCATAAAAGTGCATTAACAAATTGCGATAAGTATGTGTGTGTGTATGGCAGTTATGGTAAATGGATGCTGTCTTTATGTGGGCTAGACTAGGCCAACAGGCTTTGTCCATAATAAACGTGTAGGTACTTGTATTAAGTAGATATGGACCTACTTACTTACCGGTTTAACTGTAAAGTAGTATATACTTTATTTCAACCAAAATATAAATCTCAGCAGTTTCAACATTCCAGTATTTCAGCTTCACTTTATTGGCAACAAATCTTCTATTTGTAACACAAACTAAGTCCAAAAGAGAATGTATATCTTTAGTTTTCTAAAATTTTTAAAAATTTCTAAACCTTTGATTTAAAGTCTATTAGAATACTTTTCAGTTTCAACATTCCAGTATTTCAGCTTCACTTTATTGGCAACAAATCTTCTATTTGTAACACAAACTAAGTCCAAAAGAGAATGTATATCTTTAGATTTCTAAAATTATTAAATTATTATTAAATTTCTGCTCTAAGAGATTTCTCAAAGACTTTGATTTAAAGTCTATTAGAATATTTTTCATATTGAAGACAGTTGAAGATATTTGAAAAGTCTGCACTTTCGATAAGGAAATAAATTCCATTAATATGTTGTAATAGTTTGTACTAAATATTAAGTGTTTAGTTACTATTTCCATTAAGAAGGCTGTATATTTTACTAGGTATGTTAAAGATGTTCTACATACGGGTACGAATAGAGTGGAATCTAAAAAGATTCCATTTTTAGTTCAAC